GGCAGTATACGACATCCACTGGAAGTGCGACGTCACCAGGGCTGCTAATTTGATTCGGTTGGCAGGCTGGCGGAAACTATGGGAGCACATATCAAGCACTCCGTGATGCGCATTTCTTAATTTCGTCTCGAGTAATATCATGTTATCCCCAAATTTCCTGCTACGTTTGCCAACCGACAAAACGCAGTGATTGTAGAATTTTTTTTTCTTCTAGGCACCAGTCGTGTTTTAGAAGTGCCGTACGTGTTCCAATTCATTCTTAAACGGCGAATTTCCATTTTACATGTAAACTATCCCTTTGACCAAGATATACATACACCTGTATAGATATTAGGGGCCGGTTGCCAATCCTCGATTCTTATTATCTCTTCAGGCTTTGAAGCATTACTTTGTATTCTCTCTCTCTCTCTCTCTCTTTGGGTGAGAGGGGGAGTCACGTACCAAACGGGTGCTGTACAGAATTGTGAAAGAAAAACAGCGTTAAAATCAGACGAGGTCTTCGTCGGCGCCTGTGTCGTGCCTCCGTTTTTAGCGTTGTTTTTCCTTCACTATATAATGGATCACCTACTAGTCCGATTTTTTCTGTTACGGCAATGTAACAAGTCGATAAATCGTGCATTTAAGAACTCTCCCAGAACGCATGCGCCAACATGAACCTTACACGTGTCGCAGCGAAGTATAAGTGTGTGTTTACAATTAAGTCATACACAGTCATGTTGCACACAGAGGTAGCAGTCAGTGTTGCCCTTGGTGACGACTTTTCGCCAAATCGGCGATTTCATGCCCGTAGCGACCTAAAGTTATGAACGGCGACATGGTGAATCTTTGGCGATTTTCGGCTTAGGTCTCGACCGAGTTATGTATTCTGTACTCAGTGTCTTTAAAACGGATGAGCGACGACATTTTTTCTACTTTTCATAGTTTTAGACCAACCAGTATACAAGGCGCACTTGACGTGCAATTCAGTACATCTTTACTGCTTCTTGAGTGTATCTCTTCAATTCACCTAGATCTTGACAGCATTTGCCCACTGGTGCGTCTGCCAGCAACTTTTCATGACAATTTAGGTCAGCGGACTGCTTCGCGTGGCGCGAGGCTGCGGTGTTATATACTAAATTTTTGAGGTGCTTTAATGTTCTTTAAAATTTCGCTTCAGAAGTGGCTAGGTGACGGTTAAGTCGTGTGTTCCGACCACAGCTCTTAATGTCCTGAATTGCTCGTAAACTGCTTCACTGGTGAAGTACCACCTATTTCAACGTGTGGAGTTTAAATTTGTAATTAACATACTTTTTCGGGCCAGTCAAGAAGTCAGGCTTCTCTGGTCAGGTTTAAGAAACGGCGAATGCGTTGCACAAACATGACCGCACAGAAAGCGGGGTGTGGGCATTGCGACGATTACGCAGTACTTTCAAGTTTGTTTCCCTTGTTCAAGAATTAAGTTGTTCGATCATCGCCCACATGATTCTACTGCAATAAATTATCCGAATCTTCAAGAAGGCTACGTCCACCGTGTCTCTCTTGTTGTAGCGACTGCCTGGCCCTGTTATACTCGCTATACAGCTGAAACCCTCACAAACTTTTGTTAAGAGGTGGCAGCATCTGCAGTGATCCTGCTGGTGCGCGCATGACTTTTCTCAGCTAGTGCTCGATGGTGAAGCGGGTCATGTAACTGGCATTGAAAAAACGTCAATATAATTCAGACGTTATGGGTGGGACTGTACTCCATGGGGCTAAAAATAATTAGCAATTTTTATTAAAACGCACGCCACACCTATGTAGAGTGGTGACCTTTTTGTTGGAATTTAAAGAAAAATGGCGGCTTTTGGCGACATTTCACTCGTCGTTTGCCGAATTTTACTGGAAAGTCAGTGGCAACCCTGGCAGCAGTGTTTTTCGTGTCGCTTGAGCGAGTTTTTTTATGTCCTTGTCTAACATTTCTCTTACTCCTGCATGTTTAAGATAATTAGGTGCAATGTACTTCGGACAGTGACGCTTCCAAAAAAAAAAATAAATATGTGCAATGGACGAGTACAAAAAAAGAAGAAAAAAAAAACGCCGGACCTCTGCGAGAAGTACAAGCACAGCCAAAGTGAAAGCTGCCTAGAAGAGCAGCATTTCTAGAACCCGTTTCTAACTTTCTTGGAGGTAGCAATACAAATACGCATTCAAGGTGGCCATTACGCCATAAATTGATGCGGTGACTGATGACGATAAATAATTACGCTGAGCCCTTTATCATGGTTTGGAAGCATTCAACGAACTACTCGTTACGCAGTTCGTATTGTGTTGCACAATTCGCATTGTGTGATGCCTGGTTGTCATTTTACTCGTCTACCACGCTATATAATAGATGTCAAGACATGGTTCCTTTTCGACCTAATGCTTGTGTAGGGTATTCTTGCGAAGAAATTACGAGCACCGTCATGGCTCTGTGACTAATAAGGACACTCTAAAACTTTTTCATTTGTATAAGGAGCTCTACACGATCTAACCATTTGAGAGCATCTTCAAGAAGTCTTTGTTCTTCAACAAAACGGGTTATGCTTTTTTTTTAATATTGACGCACCAGAAGCACGTCTACGTCACCGTCTCGCGTAACCATTCTGCACTTTCATGTGCTGTGGAGTGTAATCGATATTACCGATAAAACGACGATCCGCCATTGCTTTCAACATAAACATACCGAATGTCGAGGGGTTTAAGCAGAATCTTTTTTATGGTAAGCTGCAGTACGTCCCTAAAAACATGACGTCCCAGCAGTCCAGGAATGTTCTTTTTTTTCCTCGGTCTCTTGAAATTATTTAGACAAGCAATGTTTGTATTGTGAATAGAGTTTGCTCTTTTGTTTCTTGCTTGTCGAGTTCCAGCTATAAAGAAATACAATGGCTCTCTGGTAAAAAAACTGGGCTGCCGCGGACAAGGCCCAGATTCGAACCTCGTTCATTGCTGGATAATTTTTTTTCTACTTCCGTGTTTTCCTTTCATTTCGCGCGATAGCGGTTATGGTCACCGGCGGTAGATAGCTACGGCGCCGTTGTTGTGATCCCATGACAGCTTTCTCCGCGAAAAAGCCGCCCGATCTATCCGAACCTTTTGCATTTACAGCTTGAGAAATGTATACACTTCATATACATAGTATAGGTTGAAAAGCAAAAGTATACTATTAAAAGCAGCACGGCGTGCGTCTCGCGAAAATGTTTGACTGCTTAAAACAGGACGAGCGCATGTTGACAATCGTTATACATAGAACGCAAGGATGAGGTTACGGAACCCCGCAAGGAGTATATAACGGAACGGCTCGAAACTGCAGTGAAAAACAGAAGATCAAAAAAAAACCCCAAAGAAATATGAGCTCGACACCTGCGGAATGAGAGCAGCGTGTGCAAATACGGAATGAGAGAAAGAGCGATGGTCCGCTGATGTGACGGGACCGATTGGTTTCGGCGAAGCTCGCGCGGCAAAGGCGTTTTATTTTTACGCTCGCCATCCGGGAGACGAGTGGGACCGGCCTCCTGTCACCCGCAATCAGAGGTGGGCAAACACGCCGTCGACTTGAGTAGAGTCGCTGCCCCGCGGGTGCGACTCAAAAAGCGGCCTCTTCCGAAGCCAGCGGCTGACCCCGATTCAACTGGCCGCCCGTTAAAGCGCGCTTCTTCCTAGCAGCATCCGAACAACGTGGTCCAAAGCAAGCGTCCAAATGCAACAGCTGCCGACAACAAAGAGTGGCAAACGACTTCCTATGTACCTTCACCGCACAAATGCGGTGCAGCAACTAAGAAGGCCAGCGCACTGTTGTCGGAAGATGGTGGGGCCGAATTCACGAAGCTGTTCGGCGTGTTCTTTTGTGTCCACTGGCACAGACACATGCTGCAGCCTAGATTGTTGCTGACGCTACAAACTCCCATGCATTCGCAACGCGTTTTTATAAGTCCGCAAATTGTACACGGTTGGCTCCGGCTTCCAGGGCACTGCACACTTTTGTCGGGGCCCAGTCGGCGTTTCCCTCCTCCCGATAAATATTGGGCCGCGTCGTACCCGAAGAAGGAGAGCTAATTCGCGCACTTCGGGCAAGGCGTGATGAATCGCGCCCGGCGTGCCGGACGTGGCGACTTTTCGACGGAGGCGTCCGTGTTTATTTCCGCACCGCACGCTTCCGCGGAATAAAACGCTGTCGGTTTGGGTCAAACGGAAGCGACCCGCGCTGGTCTTCGGTCCAGTCATGCCGGTGATTCCTGCACATCGGCATTCGCGGCCCTCTTGCCTCTCTCTCTCTCTTTCTCAGTGCGGCCGGAACTGGCAAAGCACAGCTACTTGCTGAATGCCACCTTGATTTGACATCAAAGGGCCGAGCGCGGGCATGCTTCGCAAGGCAATGCGTTAAACGAGTGACGTCGCGTCACTTGCACCGATGAGGCGGGATGTGCTATTCAAACAACGTCAGGAGCTTATCTCGGGAGCGTTAAGGTGACAGCTGTGTCGATAATAATTATAATCTAGATTGATACCAATAAAATCAATTACTTTAAACGCATAAAATGATGCGCAAGAACTTTACAGACAAATGAAAATGAACTTGTCCGAAACTTCGCCTAATCTGACTTTGCAAAAAATGAATGAGCACTGCGTGATATCATTACACATCATTGAATTTCATTTATTCTTGAGTGTTTCCTAATTTGTACTGCCAATATTGTTATTCCATCAATGATGTATCTACTAGCTCGGCTACAATAGCTTTCGTGCCACTTGTATCCAAGCTCCTCAAAATTGATAAATGTGTCGAGGTTTGTTCGTATACGCGGTGCAGTAAGCCGCGAAATATGTATGTATACCGGAGAGAGAGAAAAAATGAGAGGGAGTGGAAGAGATCAGTGGGGTGTGCAGGAATATAGAAATGGACGCTTCAGAGCATCGTAGTAAGTGATTAAGGGTAGTAAGTACGAGTACTGGAACAGAAAATGAGCTCGCACTTTTTTTCCCCACTCTGGAATTCCCTGCAGCTATGGACCTGGAAGAAGGCAAGGTAGGGGGCACGTGGTTGGGCATGAACATCAACGGCAAGGTGGCATCCCTGCTGAACATCATCCAGCCCCTCGATGAAATCACCGGCGACGAGAAACTGCCCAGAGGTAAAATACGACCCGAAGTATAGAAGATGTCTGTATTATTTAGGATGGAAGTGTGAAGGAAGTGAAGGAAAGGATATCTTGCCACTGGCAACCGAACCTGTGACCTTCGAATAACGCGTCCGATCTTCATGTTTGTATTGTAATCAATGCAATTAACATTCCTGATACTTTCCTTGGCTTACATGTGTTAGTTTTATTTACTCTTGTGCTTAACAAAAAAAAAACTGTCCTTGAGGTTTCTTTTCTTTCATTCATTCATAGAGTCACAAAGCTACTTAAGAAACAATAACGGCGAAAAAAAATAGACGAAAATTGCATGCATATACAAGAAAGAATGAAGACGCATGCTCATTAGTTGTTTTATTTTGCTATTTAAAAATTATTTTGCTGTCACGCAAACATTTTATGAGCAGCTGTACGAACGCTTCGGCTGTGTAAAAGTACTGAGCCGCAGGTTAATTAAAAGGGACGTGACAATTATCCGGTGGCTCTAATTATAACGCTAACGTTTGCAGGCCATCTCGCGGTGCGGTACCTGGAAGGTGGTCAGGACGGCATGAGCTACCTGCGCGACCTTCGGCGGAAGGCCAGCGACTACGACCGGTTCCTCCTCGTCACGTTGGACGTCAGGTTGGTGCTGCAGCGCGCGACTCTCGCGAGCAAGCTCCAACGTAGGTGACGATTCGCTTCCTTGACGCGACAAAGTTTACATTCACCCACGGCTCTGCGCAGAGCTGTCGGAAGGCGGCTAAGTTCAACATGACCGCCGGTGATTTAGCACTCAAGAACCGAAACGCTCCGTTGCTCTTGCTTCAATTTTCTTTTTAGTAGTTCACACTTGTAGGAACGTATGAAGTAAGAAGCTTAGAAGTGTGGCGGTTTGGGCTAGTTGGTATGACATGACGATAGTTATAGCGCGAGAACAGACGACGACAAAGGAACAAGAAGGAGAGGAGCGCTATCTAAGAATCTGTTGCGTGAAACACGAGATGACTATGAGTTACGAATGTGGCGATGGAGAAGCCATGAACACCAAAATATGAGATTTAAACGACGAAATTTCGTCACTACACTCAAACAAAACATCGAGTGAAGGAGGCGTCTTTTTGTTCCACAGAAGTAATTGTTATTATCTTGCGTTCCTTCTCTCACATTATCGCTGCGAGCCCGGTCAATGCCACCTAGAGAAAATATTTTCAGGTCTGCTCACTACCACCGTGACGTCACTCGTTTTGCCCGAGCGATCGCGTGTACTGGCAACGCCTCCTTCATTTCATCCAATGCCAGTGCAAACGCGCGCTTTTCAACGGGAGCCGTCGGTGCGCCTTAGTTCAGCAGGGGTCGTAATGCGACGCCACATGAGGAGCAGGGCCACGTGCATCACACGTGCTTCCGAGCGCTTTTCCACGGAAACGCGAAGGACGTGCATCCCTCTCTAATGCGTCTGTCAGGTTTGTTCCTTCATGCTCCTTCTTCGTGGCTGCAAGCAATGCCACCGCCACCTTTGGCTGGCCGCATAGCGCCATGAACGGCGACACGCTATCTGAAAAGACCGGATCACTTACACAGCCAGCGTGACCACCAACATTGTGATAACGAGGAACGCAAGACGCGCACCCCACGGATATGAACACAAATGAACAAAAATTATATTATTCCCGTCGTGAGGCGCTGCATGAAGGGCTCTCTTCCCCATGACCGCAAAGCACAGGCGAAGGCAGGGTGATGGGCGAGAGCAGGAAAGAGCTAGAGGAGGGGGTGGTAAACAACTGGATCGGGCGCATCTGGCTGGCATTGATGAGATAGAAGATGCGCTGGTACTGGAGGCTGCGAATCCATTGCCACCATCGTCTTCCGTTAAAGGATAAAGTGTTCGCGGTGAGTTTACATGCTTACTGTGTTGATTTTGCCTTTTGCGACAAAAAATGCGCTGGTTTAAGTTATGGGTTATGCTTGAAAGCGTTTAGAGATTTATCTGCGAGCCTATTCCTCCACAAAAAAGTCAAAGAATGTGCACTATCGAACGCGTGGTCGATCTATAAGAGCGAAATTTGATTGACCATCAAAGTGACGAAATAAATAAGGTAAATTTTATTCATTCTTTATTTACACGTACACTATCTAGGGCATGCAGAAAAAAAACTGTTCCTACTCTTTGCGAACGTTTGTGGAGATTTATTTGTGCTTTTTTGAACATCTGTCTTCGTAGAGACACGTAATTATTTAGAAGAGTGTGGTGCTGCCACAAGTATGTAAGCCAGCACAATATCAGAGCGATGGCCATTCCGAAAGGTAACGAAATCCTTCGTTTCACAAAAATCTCTTGTGATTGACACAAGAAGCGGCGTGTCTCTTTTGTTCTGGTCCCTCTCGCAGTGGTGCGTATAGTCGCTTCTATAACTTAGGGCCTGGGAAAAATGTAGTATTGGGTCTAGATTAAATCGCGTAGCACCCGTGGGCGCTTCTACTTCCCTGCCGGTTACTGGATCGGTATATTTGGTAGTTGTTCTTACCGTAAGTGTCTACACGCATCTAAATTTGAAAACATGTTAGGCTAACGTGTTGGCAAGACTGGCGCGAAATTATAATACCGCAATTAAGTGGTAAGAAAACTACTACGCACGAAACCGATGCACTAAGCAATGCAACAGCATTCCTACCAGCTTTCTCAACCAAGTGAACAGACGTAATATAAGAAGTCCATTGCGCTAATCGCCAATAGCAAATTGTTTACCGACCCCGAAGGAAAAACGCCTGTTCTGAAAACGTACTGCCACGCGCGTACTGCCAGAGCTAACGCTAACAAGTCAGAAACACACATGACACCTTTATTTTTAGAGGAACGAAACATGGTGTAGCTGGTGCCATTGGAACGACTTAAAAATATGTAGCGCGGACACACGTACCTATCGGGTCACGAAGAAAGCGGATGTCGACGTCAGCTTGACGAACGACACGCTCCCATTTCGTTCTTCAGTTGTCCTTGGAAGACGAGAACACTCGCAACTTCGCTCCCTTTGCCGCGACAATTTGCAGCATCGCCCAACCGTTCGGGTTTGCAGCCGTACAGATTGCGAATATTCAGTACACAAAACGTATCACACATTCACGCTGTAGTTCATGGCCGCAGTAAAAAAATTCCGCCATATCCACGAAGTGAATGATGATGAGTGGGCGAAGCTCCGGAGGTAAACCTGGTAAACCATGAATCCTCTGTACATTTTTCCCACTCGATTTTATTACATCGCTCCCCCTAGCGTACGTCGCCGCACTAAATCGAACGATTGCCTTCAACCAATGACACGCGCCATATGTGACATCATTCCTATTTTATAAGATCTCGCGTCTTTCATCAACTACAAGTACCGCTTTCTAGTTTATAACATCTTGCATCTTTTCATCATCAGCTACAAGTACCACCATCTAGTAAACACTACAAGAACTAAACGAGAGGTGGCTACATACAGGAGACGGTACCGCCATCTAGTGAACACTGCAAGAACTAAACTAGAGGTGGCTACATACAGGGGACGGTACCGCCATCTAGTGAACACTGCAAGAACTAAACTAGAGGTGGCTACATACAGGCTACAGGGGACGCACAGCCCACGCCCTAAGGAGCTTCGCCCCTAAAAGCGTTCTTATCGAGTCACCAACAAGCAAATCAGCACGCAACGAAAACGTTCGTCAGGCTTGGCAATCCATGTCTGTCGAGCGACGAGAGCAAGCGTAAGCACGTCTGTGCAGTGAAACACACCGGTCTAAACGGAACGTCATCAGAGCTTGCTGCATAAGCAGTGAATCAGGCCTGAAATTATCTATAGGTGGCGTACACTTTCATGCGCGTTATCAGCATCACTTATATCAGTCACTCTTGATAAGAAAGTGGTGCACACCACCTAGATCATTTCAGGCCTGATACACTGCAGCGGGCTCTGATGACATTCCGTTTAGACCGGTGTGTTTCGATGCACAGACGTGCGCTTGCTCTGGTCGCTCGACAGACATAGGTTTCCAAGCCTGACGAACGTTTTCGTGGCGTGCTGGTGTGCTTGTTGGTGACTCAAGGAGGAATAAATGAGGAAGGACAGGGAGGTTAGCCAGTAGGTGACTCAAGACAAACGATCATGGTGATTCAAGATGATCGTTTATTACCGTGGCCATAAACTGCAGAGTGAAAATGTAGTGCCAAGTTTTCAAAATAGAAAGCGCGAGCAAGCTAGATGACGATTATTTTTGTGGGACAAAGACACCCTTTTTGCTCAATCTTTCTTTAATGTGTAGTATTGATTTCGTTGTTTTTAGGAAAATAAAGGATGCGAATAACTAAAGGAGGCTATGACAGCCTATTTTCTATCATGCATGATCTGTGTTATGGAGGCTAACGTTCCCAAACAAGCTGGTGGCATTTTTTTTCTTCAGGGCCAATAAACCCAACCCACTGGCAGCGACAGCAATCTTCACACGGCGTGTGTGCAGCCCATTTGGTTGAGCACTTAGATGACAAATGTATATATATATATATATATATATATATATATATATATATATATATATATATATATATATATATATATATATTTATATATATATATATATATATATATGGGGGGGTGGGGGGGGGGGGGTGTTGGACGAGCGCCTGCATTCCAGCGAACGATTTTGCACCGTCCGCAGCTGCACATGCGATCCAGCTATTGATATTCGTTCAGCTTGTCCCTGAAATTCATTAATCAGCAACGGCCGAAACCTTGATAGAAGACGACGGTTCTGTTCCATGCTGCACATCACGTCACACACACCGTGTGAACATTGCTGTCGCTATTAGTGGGTTGGGTTTATTGGCCCTGAAAAAAAATTGCGGCCAAGATTTTCAGCCAAGTTGAAAGATTAGACCCTCAAATCGCTAGAAACAACATTTATTCTAAGCAGAAACTACGGGGAAATACTAACGACGTTAGTGCGTTTTTCAGAAACTGCCGCGTCTAGCCACCACGCCGTGAACTAGAGAAGGTGACGTTTGGTGACGTCACACACACCCGAAACGGGCAAGTCAACCATGCCATCCGTCGCTCGCGTCTATCTACTCGCTCAACTCCCTTTTTTCTATTTCCGGCTAAAGTTCACATACGTGGTGCTAAGATAAAGATATTACAATACACAACGCACAATACAAAAAAAATTTGAAAATAACTAAGGCAGTCAAGCATTACTATAACACATACTCGCTCAACTCCACTTCAGTTCCCAAAACTGGCACTCACACTGTCGTCTGTTTTTTCCCCTTCCTGACTGTTTAGTGTCTTTCCTTCACGCTCAAACTGAGCTGCGCTAAAAGCAATATCATTTTACCATGCACCAATTCGCCCAGTCAGCAGTAGTTGTCGGTATGAACAGCAACAGCGACGAACAATGCTTCCGGCTGAGACAAAGCTCCAGCTATTTTGTGGAAGGGAAAGAGCGGAATGAAAGGAGAGGTTGAGAAAAGGAAGAGGATGACAAGAACACGCGCATCCTTCACGCTTCTCGGTGATTGTGACGTCATGGCTCGCGTCCGCGAGCAGCCGCCGCGCACTTACAATCCATCGAACCAACTGTTCAAAAATACGGAAAATTAACTCTGTTTATCACAACAGTGGCATCTTCCTAGTCGAATTTCAAAGTTTCGTCAGTTTTTTTTATTTACAATTTGTGTTCCGTTGATGAAGCTCTACGATTATCACTTGGAAGAGTGTTGTAAGGTCTCATTAAGGTGCCACCAGAATACAAGAATTCATAAAGGGTCCTACTGACATTACAGACAGATCGTGAGAAGAGCCTGCACCACTACTGTATCGCAGAAGAAAACGTCACTATTTTAGCTGCGAAGTAAGCAATAAGAAGGAAACGTGCCATGCAATTTAGAGTTGCACATTGAAATACACGCCGAAAGCATCTTCATACCCCTGTACGAAGGATTATGTGAGGTGTATTTGCGTGCAGAAAACGCATTTTCTCTCAGCAGCGTTTGCTGATCCCTTTGTCGCACTAAGGTGCTGAAGGATCTGTAACCCATGTGAAGAGCTACATTTGAAAAAATCGTTTTTCTTTTCTGCTAATGCGATGGCCGATTTTCAACGCAGCCCATCACGGCAGGACATCCAAGCCTGCTGCTATACGAATGCCCTCGATTCCCCACCGATTCATCTAAAACCAGGTGAGTCCTTCCTGGATGCACGTTCGTTAACTGTGTGAACCTGTAGCTATTGTTAGCAAACATCAAATCAGTTCATATCAAAACTTACTTTTCTGCTTGCCGAGGCATACAAAAAGGACAGCAAGAAAACTTCTTTTTAGATGAATTTGCCAAGCTCATAGCTCACAATTTCAGTTTTTTCCTAGTGAGATCAGCGCCACTATACGTTACGCTTCAGTGATAATTGTTGCCATGTCCCCACCTCAGAAGCTCCCATTTATGTGAACCACCATTCTACACACACTCGCTGATGGCCTTATACTACACACAATAAAATTTCGAACACATAATCAAACACAATCAAGTGGAAGTAAGTGTAGAAAACAAAAGAGACACCCTTCCTGTCTGCGTTTGACTTCGTGATCTTTTGACTTCCATAAGGTATTTTTACACACTCTTACAAATGTTTGCTCTGATGAAGATGACTTTGCTAAAAGTGAGAGATGGCAAATAACAAATTTTACATGGCGTAAGAGAATGTATCGGGAAAAAATCACATCAAACGTAAAATGAACGATGCTACGGAATCAAGTCCAAAATTTCTCAAAAACAAAGGCTTCACAGGTGAAAAAGAAAACCGTCGATGTTCATGTCATCGAACACAGAACCAACACATTCCAGTGGCGCGCGGTCGCTTCAAACGTAGTGAATAATCCAAGGCAAAGTTACATAGCAGAACGAGCTCTTAATTGACATCCCGCGGTGTTTGTTTCCTTGGCTTCGGGAGGAATGCCACGACTTGTTGCGCAGGTTTTCACGCATTCGGCAATAGCAATCCACTGCGTCCTTGGCGTAAAGTGGTCGAGTCACGGGCGCAGTTTGGCGACATCGTGCAACGACAGGGCAAAGCCGGCCGCAAGCAGGCGCTGGTCGACGAGCTCATCGCCATGATGAACAACAGCACCGAGTGAGTGTGCACGTCGTCATTGGTGTGACAAAGAGGGGGGGGGGGGGGTGCCAACCCCTTTTCTTTAAAAAGGGGGCGCTAAGTCTGCTCCAAGTCGCACGTAGGTCTGGCCAGCAACCACAACTATGGGGCAAAGCCACACTACATTTTTGCAGGTCACATTCTTGCCGCAATACGGATTTAAGGACGCAGCCCACGACGTGGCGGAGAGGTTAGCTTATCTGTCCCGACGTGGGAGCGGCCCACTACGTGCTAGTTCACACCCCGACGGACCTAAATAGTTTTTTCCATACCATACCATATATTCTTGCCGTGTAGCTGGTGGCACGTTTGGCTTCTATAAGTCCGGTGATTAACTTGACTGTCCATGACTCAACGATTCTATGACGTTGTCCATGACTAGCATCCGTCCAGTTAACTCCAACGGCGTCGTCAATAGACAGTGGTAGCGGGATCAAAGTGCGCATGCGCAGTAATGTGGCTGGTGGTTTAGGACGTCCGCTTCAAAGTGAACTTGACGTAATAGTTGAAGATTTCCTTTGTTCGCCACAAAAGACTGTGTAAAACAGCTTTGCTTGCCTTCAGGTAGCTTTGACGACTGAGTATTACGGAGAGATTGGCATAGTTTTTGAGATAGCTTCTCATTTGAAACGTCTCTAGGCCTAACTAGAAGATTGATGTAAACAAATCGGCAACATAAATGTTTTCGCGTTCAGTGCGTGGTTCATATTTGTTTACTTTTAGTATTACTAAAAAAAAACTTGTTACATCACTTCACGCGGTGATACAGGCAAGCATTCTTGTATTCTTTTCATTTTTACTGTTCTTTGACTTGTTTACCCTCCGATAGGTGACGCGACCGTCCCAGCCGGGGCACGTAAACCACGTAAACGTTATCCCGCTAAACTATAAGGTACTGCCCGCAACGGACGTTTCCAACACGGTAACGCTATTACCTAACCCCCGCTATCACGCTAACGGTAAACTATAACTGTCTAATAAATACAAAAAAAAGCAAAATCAGCTTCTGAGCGACGCATGGTTGCCAGCGGCGTTTGGGTGATGGCGGACGCCCAACTCTGCTACAAAAGGTAGCATATATATATACATTACCACGGGGCTTCCCATAAGGGCAAGGGGGGAGACAAAGATTTATCGCAGAGGCGCAACCCCCTTCCAAGGCCGTGTTCAAAAGTCATGCGTCACAATGGCTGCTTAAATAAAGATGAAACAGATGACGTGCTTCTAACAAGGTCCTTCCTGCTTTTCGTAATTGGCGTTTCATGGAGTAATCACGACATAGACAGTTGCTCGGACGCCATTATCGACAACAACCAGCAAACCTACGTAGCCACAGACCTGCTCATTAAACAGTGAGGGGACGGTATGTCCGACTGAATAAAAGTACCGTGCCGACTGTGCACTGGGCTCAGTCCAGGGCTTCGCTTGCAGCTGCCGCTCTGCTGGCCCAGTCGATCACACGCAAGCTGATCTTCCAGGTTCTCGCTGGCCAGCATCTCTTTCCATTGCTCCGCTGGGGGATCCTGTTTTGGTGCTAAAGCTGTAATGGCCTGGCATCCCCACGTGACGTCGCACAGGGCTGCTTTAGCTGATCACCACGGGCATTGAGGAGTAGATAATCCTTCGCATTAAAATCGGAGAACTCACTAGTCCTCATCAATATTGTGTCTCACAAAGAAAAAAAAAACAAGACCTTATAGCTTTCATTTCTTAATCCAAGGACCGTTGACTTTCCACCTTTACTTTCGACAAGCCGACACGAAAGGCAGGCCGTTGCGAGAAGCACGTGCGTCATTGCGCCATTTCCATGTTTGCATTCAGTGGCATTTTTGTGTCCTTTCGGACGAGGCCCGCTGTGACGAGTCGGTGAGTACACAACATCTTGATTTTTTTTTTTTTGCGCCAAGAAAGACGAACAAATGGGAGAAGACAGGACAGGGGCTTCCTGTCATTTCCTTTCCTTTCAAAAAGTAAAAAAAAGAAACACTAAAAGAAGTGTCTTTCAAACCTTTTTTTTTTGTTGTTGAAGGACGCAAACTGTCAGGGCATTCAAAAGAGCCTACCGGTTCATAAAAGGGAGGAATTAGGGCGTGAGGCCTTAAAATGCGCAAGGGTCATTTGGGTCGATTGTCCAAAGACCTAAGATATCCTTAGAATACACGCATGGCTCCAGCTGCAATTGCTTTCTTTTTATTTCTGTATAACAAACCCTCTCGTTGCGGGTGTTTTGGGGTATACTACACACCAGGCGTTTGTTCCTGCGGGGTGCAGTAATCAAAGTTTGTGATCGCAATTGTGATGCAGGTATTTTCCCGACGACCAGCTGCTGAAGGACGCGGAAGGCCGGTCCGAAGAATCACTGCGAAGTCTTAGCTCCGTCTTCGTCCGGGTCGAGGACGAGTACTACGGATCCAGGTTAGGGTCATCCCGCGCATTGCTGCTGACAGCCTGTCTCCGAGCCGTGTTCCGCCGAGTTAAACAGCTGCGGATCCCGAAGGCCATGACCTTCGGCATCCGCTTGGACAGCGTGCACGCTCTCCAAGGCTACAGACACAGTGGGCTAGAGAGTTTGCACGTTGAAGTGTTCAGCTAATATTTGCTCGTTTGAACACACGGGAAGCTAAGGGCTGTTTCTCTTTCCCTCTTATTTACTCACAACTGATATTAATGCATGGTTAACCAATTACTGGGGCATAATTGACGACTTACAGCGAAGAGGTGCAATGTATGCCTTCCTACTTGGATTCGAATATGGGCCTGAGCAAACACGCTTCTTCCCTCTTTATTTTACGTGGTTTGTTCAACGTGGAAATGTTTGAATGGTTAGGCGGATAAGTAGTGCATGCTTTTTCCTTTTGTTTCTCTTTAAAATTCCATTTGAAATGCGGTTATTATCCGCCGACCGTTGAAGTTGACTAAGTTATTGCGTGACGTTTCACCCTCTGGCTCATCCTTGCTGGTCCACCGCGGTGGTGTAGCTACATAGTGCTCGACTGCTGATCCGAAGGCCCCGGATACTATCCACGCCGTGGCGGTCGCATTTTAATAGCGGCGAAATGCTTGAGGCCAGTGTACTGTGCCATGTCAGTGCACGTTAAGGAACCCCGGATGGCCGAAATTTCCGGACTCCTCCTTTGTGAGCGCGTGTGGAGATGTCACGTACAGTCGAGCATGCGATTCTGAGAATGGAGGATGTAAACATAAACGTCCGATTCCCCTTCACAGCGGACGATGCATAGTTGTTCGGTTCATTGCAGAGCTGCCCCGCACTTAGGTGGCTAGGGGGAGACAACATGCGCAAAGTCTGCCGCATCATCATCATCATCAGCCTGTCTACGTCCACTGCAGGACCAAGGCCTCTCCCATGTTCCGCCAGTTAACCCGGTCCTGTGCTTGCTGCTTGCTGCCAATTTATACCCGCAAACTCATCTGCCCACCTAACCTTCCGTCTCCTTCTAATCCGCTTGCCTTCTCTGGGAATCCAGTTAGTCACCCTTAGCGACCAGCGATTATACTGTCTACGCGCTACATGCCCGGCCCATGTCCACTTCTTCTTGATTTCAGCTATGATATCCTTGACCCCCGTTTGTTCCCTAATCCACTCTGCTCTTGTCTCTTAAGGTTACACCTACCATTTTTCTTTCCATAGCTCGCTGTGTCGTCCTCAATTTAAGCTGAACCCTATTTGTAAGTCTCCAGGTTTCTGCTCCATAGCTAAGTACCGGCAAGATGCAGCTGTTATATACAGCAAAGTCTGCCGCGTACATTGACTTAAGAGGGAGGGGGCGCTGCAATGAACCTTCGCCGCCTCCTCTCTCCCTTGAAGCGGAACCCTGGGCCCGATTAGGTGCATTGGTAGTACTCCGCAAAAGAAGTTGACAACCGGTTCCTGCGCGTGTTATTTGTTTAGCGCTTAGCCACCGATAAATCGAGCAGATAGCGACTCGGTCAACCAAGGCAGTAATTTGCTTTTCTTATTAACTTAGTCGCGTAACCAGTGGTAGTCACAGGTGTGAACTGGTTTATACCGCAGCCACTTTTTAACATATCGGTTGATTAAAATGCTCTCCAAAGTGAGCGAACTGTCAGCTTAACGAGTTTGTCACCGACAGTGACTTAGTATACATATAAAACAATCGAGAGCTCTCATGTACCAACCTCTCACATCGGAGCTCTCGTGATTGCTCATCGGCGTCGTCTCGTTCGCAGGACGCACACCGTGATCCTGGTGGATGCCAGGGGCTGCGTCGACTACATCGAGCGAACCATGCAGCAACCAATCGACCTAAACGGAAACGAACCCTGGGTCACGACGAGGCTGCAGTTCGGAATCCAGGAGCCCGGATCTCTCGTGTCCCGCCTTTGATCCCGACCCTTCATTCACGCGTATTTATGTCCCACTCTCAGAGTCAGCGGCTTCGTCTGTGCTTCTCGCGAAAAGAGTCGTTATGGTAGACAAGCACTCCGCGACGCGCGGGAGCGAAGCAACACGTTAATTTGTGCCACTTTCTGATACGGTCGGTGCAGGCCAAGGCATATCGACGTTCCAAGAGATCTTGAAGAGACTCGGAACTAGATCAAAGGCGTATATCTTGACGTTGGGGCCCACGTGTTCGACTGAGCCACGACCCTGTGATCGCGTCACTGTCTGAACAAGATGCTGAAAGTAATACTTATGTAGCGAAGTCTTGGAACCTTGTAATGGATCTCCACCTCCAGCGCTTTCTAGAAGGTCGTCCTTCTAGTGAGCCTAGTGGGACACAAGTGTGGCTGAAAGCTGTCGAACGTGCTGCGGGTGAGCAAAGGCTAGCAGAAAGAACTGGCACACGATATCCTCGCGCACGAATCACTTCACCTCTGCGAGCAACGCGGGGTGTTCAGATACGGTTGACAAGCCAGCGAGCTCAGGCGTAGTGTGATGGAGAGCGACGGGTCACGGACAACTGCCAGCGCAGCTCGTCGTAGCTTTGGCAGAGCGTTATGACCTCTGCCACTGAGCTTGGTTTGTTGTGTGTGTGCGCGCGTGCGTGTGTGTGTGTGTGGAGCATGCTGAAGGCATGGGAATTGATGCCTTTCGTAATGTGCCTCATCTTGAGATTATGGCATGGTGGCGTCGGCTCTTTTTCAAAAGTCGATGTCTTCGATGTAGCTTGTCAATGATTCACAAGCTTGCCAGCTCGTTCACGTAAACGCTGGTTGGCTTGCAGCTTACGAACAGCAGGACAGCCTAACACGGCGATAATGACAGTCTTGAAGTCCGACCACGTCGTAAAATCTGATGCGTGGTTGTTCTACCACAGGCCTGTAACCTCTAAGAGGTAGAAAATCAAGATGGTCAGTTTTCCCGTCTCGTCCATGGAAAACGCCCACGCCCTCGTAAATCGCGATACAGTCCTCCACGTCGGTGCCATGCGTCCGCGCCAGTGAACACTGGTGCGGATGGTTCCGAAGGACTGTATCGGGGATACGAAGGACGCCGGAACGTGAGGTCGGTGCAGGTGAAGGCATTTGCTGGGTGGGGTCTCGAGGCATTGTAGATGGCAGGGTGCGGGATTGTGGCACCAGGGGCATCGAATGAGGCCAAAAACTATTGTGGGGGCGCAACGCTATCCACCAATTTGTCAAGGTGTTTATTTGGCAGCGCTCAGCGACAATGCACAATGGCGACATTGAAAGCAATGCACGTACTCCAAGCGCGAACAGCGCTCTTTCACAAAAAGAACCGCAGAGGACGACCCACTAGAAGGCGCTGGAGAGGGAGACCAATTACTACACTTCTTACATTCGAATCTGCAGGCAGCGTCGGTAACGCACGAATGGATTGAACTGACCACGGCGTCATTGGCGGGCGCACAAGGTGGCCAGGGTGCGCGGCCGCCTCCCCTAATCACCGAAGTGAGAGGGCTCAGAATCTGCCCCATACGTTGACTCAGTTATGGCCGTTATGGATAACGATGACCGAATGCCTCTGATGTTGCGTTCCGAGAATTGTTTACTTTTCGCATTTAATTCCGTAAAGCCATAGGACCGAAGGCAGGCCAGTAGCGAGGAGCACGTCATCGTTCAATTTCCTTTTTTTTTTTTCATCCTATTGGACTCGACCAACAATGAGGAAGTTGGACCGTGAAAAAACATTGCCCCCCCTGCCCGAGCCCGCGCTTCCCGGCACACGCCTACGCACTGCGTGCAAGAAGCTCCAGGTACGGCAGTTGACCTCAGTTTTGCATCGCTTAGGCGTTTGTCGCAGCTGTACCGAGAATGATCTAACCGAAATCCCACCAGCTGTCGCTACCCTTGTACTGCGTCACATAATGAGGGATTTGCGGCAACAATAAAATACCCACCCCGTGCCCAAAAGAATCTACCCAGACCTAATGCGTTTCTATCATACTGTCACAAAGAAAGCTACGTCTTCACTCTCAGAAGCAGCCGTTTCGTATACGCGTGGAGCTTAATGTCGAACAGATGAGCCATATAAGGTTCCATCACCTGTACGGCCTCCCAACAATCATCATCAGCGGCATCAGTGTGACGTGCAGACGGCTCCCAATGTCTCCGCAGCTAAACGTTCTCTGTGCTCTGCCCACACCCGATCCTTGAAAAAGAGGCAGGGAGACCTGGAGCGGCGTCTATTGTTACCGCATCCCAAAACGGGCTCTTTGAAATAAATGTCTTTCTTTCACTCATTAACAGCATATTTTCGCACATCACGGCTTTTGGGCGCGCGCCGTCACGTGATGGTGAAGCAAGCAGAGCTTTATCAGGTAAGGATGACACTCTCTAATGCGCGAAATTGTGCTCAGAAAGAAGTGGCACAATCTGCGAAATGACAGCCTCGAGCACAGTCGCCGGTAAACTGATCGTCGTCGGACAGAGAAGTGATCGAAAATTGCAGCGTTATCGCTAGCGCTCCATAAGCTCTCGAGAAAACTTCGCCTTCCACCTTCTCCTTGAAAAAAAAAAAAAAACTTTCAACCAATGCCCTTGCCCAACCATGTAGAATTACGAAGCGGTCAGCGCTGGGACGCATATCGGAAGGCACTGGAGCATGCCGAAGCTTACCGGAGAACACTTCGAAAAACTGTAAACCAAAATACGCCATGAAACGAAAGAGGGCCCCGCGCAGGTGAACGAAGGCGAAGCCTCAACAGTTGGATAATGCCCATACAGGCGTAGCCGAGCATCTAAAGCTGACTACGCCGTTTAAACCACGCCAGATTTATGCGAGAACTTCTGTTCTCGCATAATCATTATGTTTACTGCCAAGCAAACCAGGACATATGTAAAACATAAGAGCGAGCGTAGTTTAAATTTATGGGAAAAACGGTGCCACGTGCTTTCTTCCGCACAATCGCATACAATTAAAGAGGTGGAAGCGAATGGGAAATTAACTTTACCATTGAAACCACGTACGCCCATTGTAATGAATGTATTACACCAGTGCGATTTCGGAACCAATGAACAATTGACAAGTTTTGACTGCGTCGTGTTTGGACGATTCCTTAATTTTGTCGAACTTCGTGGACCACTTTATTAGCTGTCAATATTTCAAAATAAATTTTTTTGTTACCTTTGCCCATTACCCAAGCTCACCAGCAGGGGCAAATAAAGCTGGCAGCCATGCACAACACGTAGGCAGCATATCTGCTACGGGGTATTCACAGATGCTTCATAAAATCACAAAAAAACACAGTGTTCACAAAATGAGAAAGTTTATTGTAAAAAACTTTTTTACTTGAACTAAATACAGAACTCTTCACAAGACCACTCTGCCTGAACCAGCCCGCTTCTTGGCACACAAACACAAAACAGGGCAACAAAAACAAGAACTTCCTTTAGAGCTTTTGGTAGGGCAGGCAATCAATGAAAGGAGGAACACTAACACTTTCCTGCACTCCTACGAATATAGGGGCACAGCTTTTGCTTAACCTGAAAATGTCTTCTGGAAAAAAAAAAAAAAAAGATGGGCCCGACTTCAGGCAAGCAGAGAGTTCGTAAAGACTGCATTTGTGTAGCCGTCCACTTCAATCTGCTCATAGACGTAGTTGCGGTTAGACCTGCATTCGTCTCCGCACTTTTGCGAGTTACACTTGGGGCAGGGAAAATGACAACCAGGGCAATTGGGCTGCAGGCAGTCACAGGCATCCTTGTTTGAAGCAATGTGGATACCTCGAGCATTGTAGTGTCTGTGTGGCCGAGTCCTGCAATGTTAAGAGGAAATTTTGTGCACGAAGTGCCACACAGTTATTGAACACTAAAAAAAGCACTAAAAGCAAAGGCACTGAATCAACTGATAAAAGGACTAGAGCAAACGCTCACAACTGCCCCTTGCTCACAACGCCCCCTACATACAGCGTACCCAAGCTTTGCTTGTACTAGACTCCCCAAACACTCGGCCCACAAAACGTGTGTGAAGAAGAAATGCGACATGGCATTTCGCAATTCTCTACAACAGCGAACTTCACCAGGCTTTAAGAGATTAGAACCGATTTAATCAATTTTCAAACAAAAAAATGCTCCACATGGCTCGGTCATATGCAATGTTTTTTTTTAGAAAACACCTGGGAAAGCACGTTGCTGTACAAGCCATCCATGTCCCTTGTAAGCCCAGCTTACCTGAATAGGACTCTCAACGTGGAGGAAGGAACAGGGTTTGTCATAGGTTGCAATACCTCTGCTGTAGGTCCATCTGAGCTATCATGTCATGCCGATACTGACGGCAACGCAGCAGTGCCATTGATCGTGCCAGGTACTGACTGCTGTCCTCTGTCGGCCCAGACTCCTCGTGCTGCTCTGTGCTTGGAGATGGGGGATTACTACCAGATGCACTGAGAGGGAAAGAGTTCGCATACTTCATTACCATACAAGCTTCACACTGTTACGAAATGAATAATGTGGAGCTTCAGGTTATTTTCTACTTTCACCAACAGATCATGTGTACACGCACGTGATATGATGCTGCTATCAGGGTTAAAATATATACTGTTAAACCCATTTACAAGAAGTATACTCCGGGCAGAAATTTTTCTTGTCTTTTATACGGGATGTTTCTTATAAACAGGGTACCATGTATGCATTTTCCTATCAACCCATATGTTACTGTAGGCACACTGGTGTGTCTTATACCCTTTTGTCTCTTATATCAGTCTCTCTTATAAAGGGGTTCGACAGTACATGCAAAACTCGTGCAATTGAACCATCGACTGTTTCTTAAACGGGCCCTCTTTTCTTACAATCAATGCCATATACCTAATTTCCATGGCCACTGGCCGATTAGAACATTTTGCTGTGGCCGCTGCGAGGTGTCGCCACGTGTCCTGCTCGAGCACTAAAGACCACATTAAAAGTAAACTACATATTTCAAAAAGGAACAAAAGCAGCGCTTAAGGTCCATGATGCAAGCTCCTGAAGGGGCGCATCTTCTTAGCCCCTTGTCATCCCTTCCCTGCATACCTTGCCGGTGAGAACGCAGGCAACATTGGGTGCAAAGCCGCAGGCGCACGCAACGCGGTAAAGATACAGAGAAACTGCATAATGCCAAATCCTCTCATTGTAGCAGCTTGTTATATTCAAAAACAGTTAAAAAGCTCAAAATAAAGGTGGTTATGCATAGTTAGATTAACTCTTGCGAAAGCAGATTGACGACAACTTTCACGAATGGCAAGAAGGGCCGACAGCTTCGCTATCAATTCTCAGTATTGCTGGAGGAAATGTACATCTGTGTTTAGAGGCTTTCAGGCCGAAAATATTGCTTGTAAAATAACCATGTGCTTTTGGGATGAACTGCTGCCGCTACAAACACTACGAAGGGTGAAATTTTCGTTGTGCGGCAAAAAACAGGTCGAGAAAAGTCTGTTGTCGGTCCCTTTAATAAGAAGGAAAGACAGAGTTACGCACTCTAAATATCACTATGTTCAAGTACAAACTCGGCCGAATTTGAGTGCTTTTAAAGAAAGAAGGAACTTGGCCAAAAATTTCTTCCCAAGTGCACGGGTCCATTCATGATTAATGTGCGAGTAGTTGTTGCAACAGTGACAGCTAGAAATTGCCATTTACACAAGACGCAACTTGTGCATGCCTCCCGACTGAAGCCCAACAACTCGCTCAGTGAAAGTAAACTAGCCTGAAAGACACTGGAAAAGTGAAAGAGAAGACCGAAGGAGAAGAACGAGTCGGTGATCTGCAACCTCCAACTGTCCCTCGCCTACCATTTCCCAGACCTCATCATAAATGAATCCACATCATCCATAACAAGAATGCTCAATTTTATTTCTTTAAACAGCTGAACTCAAGGTTGCCCCCTCGTATGCAACATTCGACTTTGCATGAGCTCGCAATTCAAGCAGGTCCTATGCGAACAGAGAAATAGTGCAGTTTATAAAAAAGCATCAAACATCTCTTGCAATCTTGGTAGGAAGCGCAGCAACTATTACACAGAACACACAACACAAGCGCTTGCGTTGTGTGTTCTGTGTAATAGCTGCTGCGCTTCCTACCAAGATGGATTCCTACCAACTGGCCCGATACAATTGTTTACCTCTTGCAAACAACTTGCCAACAAGTGAGAAAGGTCAACAGTTGGTGATCATACCATACAGGCCGTGATGCAGCGGCTAAAGTCTGCGCAGCAGCAGAGAGCCAGGCCTCTTTTCGTTTGCGCCAGTTTTCCTTCATAATAAGAGAACGCCTGCTGGGCACGACAGAAGTCTTGGCAGGCCCACTTTGTTGACGAGATGCCTTCTTCGTTTGCTTCCTGAGAAAAAATAGCTATTTGCACATTAGTCGCACTGTGCCATGTCAAGCTTGGCAGGGCTTTGCTATCAGGTTGCTGCTATGTACCAAGTTTCCTTTCAAATGGTAAGGCTTTATTTAACAGTTTTTGTAAGATATTACACTGCAAAATGGGTGCAGAAAATAGGTGCTGAGAAAGACCTGCTTCTAAAAATAAATTCATGATTGGTTGCAGACATAATTTAGGCACTTTTGTAACCCAACTATAAGTCACAAAGCACAAAAAAAAAAGAGTAGGAATAGTCACTTGTTTGGCTTGCCAAATCATGCAGCCAATGCTGTCTCATAACCAAAAGTAGAGGAGCCGACTGTGTCCAGACACTAAATGAACTGAAATCGTGTTGACCACTACTTCTGGTTCAGAGGCACGAACACTAAGTGGGCAGGCATGGTTCCTCTGATGCAACTTAAAGTGAAGCTTTGGGCTAGTTGGTTTTACATTATGAAATACGAACAGTGTGAAATTCAACATGGGGACACAAGAGGAGACACAGAAAGCACTTGTCTGTGTCTCCTTTTGTGTCCCCGTGTTGAGTTTCGCACTGTTCGTACGTCCTATGATGTGCCGCACGTGGAGTCCGAGGTTGTCCTCTAGTGAACCATTCACGAATTCAGCCTACACCTGTTGCAATGCCTTGCAGTATAGTTGGAAATTCATTGAGAAGAATTTTTGCCCGATCCCGATGCGAAATTTTAAATTTTTTGCTGCATGCAGCATAACTAAATTGAAGAAAATATTTCTTTGACGAGTTCACCAAACTCTCATCGACAAATCGGTAACACTCCATTACAAGTTTGTTCAATAAGTGTTTCAGAGCTGAAATATAGTCATCTTTAGTTGTAATTAAATCGTTCTACTCAAAATTTATTTGCATTCCTGATGTATCACACAAAGCACACGAAAAGCTAGACCCGCTTAGAACAAATCGGCATCCCTCTTTTGCGTGCAGTGTCAAATCAACGCCATCACCAAACTAGTCTCCACGTGGGCACAGAACAAGCCATGAGGATAGAAAGCCCACAACCACATAGTAACGTTTGCCAAGCGGGTGCCAAGTGCTCCCAGCTGTTCACTGTTGCGCAAACAGGAGCTGTCAAAACCCATGGTGCAGCATTCCCAAATCGCAATTCCACGGCCATCCTCCTTTTCCTTCCCCTTTATAGAATCCACAAAATGTTCCCCCATGATAGAAACCACAAAAAAAGTTTCCCCGCGATAGAATCCACCACAAAAAAGTTCCCTGTTGCTTTCCGACACCAGAAAACAGTGGCCTCTCGAATGCCATAAAGTGGCTGAGAGACCACAGCCCGAGACCACGGCCCGAGAAGCACCATAGCATGCCACGGGATACGCTCGAGCGAGTTCTAGTGCTCTAAAGGGCACTTCTGGCGCACAGACAACGCATGGCACAACCCATAGGCGCATAGACTTCTGGCGCATGGCATAGACACAACGGTGCGCTAATTCCAACACTTCAATCATAAAATTAGTTTTGTCAGGAATGAGGCGCCAAAAAACTAGTTTTGGGAACTTAAACGAATGCATGCCTCAAGAAAAAAAAATCGTCCAGTTATCGTGCAAAACAATTACTGCAAAAGTGGTCAGTTTTCTCGATTTCATTGAGTACCAACAATGAGCGGCTAATGATTTTTAGAACAAGCACAACCTCAGACTCAAGCCACGGCATTTGCGGTACTGCAACGCGCAATTCCCTTCATGTTCCCCAACGTCCACTCTCCCGCATATGCACAATGTCAACAAGGGCTCCTTGGTTCCGCCACATTTCTCCCGGGGCAGCACTAGACAAGTGTGAACCCCCAAACCCTTCTTCGAACCCTTATTTAGGTTTTTTTCTGTAGAAAAGGTTTATAAATGTAGCCACTGTTTCCCCCAGCTGATTCACTTTCTGCGAGTAGTTGGGATGCCAGTAGCTTCTTGCTAGCCTTCATGTCAACTCTCATTCTTGCTGCCAGTTTCGATGTCACTACTCTTCCAAAGCAACTCTTGGGTGCAACCTTCCACCAACAGGTGCCCATTCGCAGTTTCTGCTTTCTTGCACAACAATGATTGCCTCTATTCTGCAACACGTGAAGCCGAAGCCAAGCCCGCCATTGCAACAGCCACCATCGTCGATGATCATGAGGGAAGCGAGATGCCTTGACATTCTGAAGCACCAGAGTAGCCTGCTATGTTCAATCACTTTGGCACTTGTGGCACATGCCTTTGTATACATGCTGCAGGCTATTCAATTGTGTTATTTGGAGTGCTTCATAAGGTGTGCATTGCCGTGTTTTTGTGATCTACAGGCGGTAGCCACACCAGGCTCCGCGCAAAAGTGTCAAACTTTGGCGCATAAAGTTCTGATAAAAAAGTTGGGAAAAGGTTGCCTGTAATAATTATGCAGAAATCCTTCACAATGTCATAAAGTCATGCTTCACTCAAAACATTGCACTTTAATCTCCCCTCACAGTTTTAGAGCAATTAAAGCTCGAATGCTATAGCCTTTCTCAAACAGTAAAGTTTGAAAAAACTTCCTCACTAGTGGTATTTTAATACAGTTCTGATGACTTTGTTATAACAAGAGATTACTGTACAATGATCAGTAGGTGTCAAGGCACACAGAAATTGCACAAGTGAGTGATTATCTCATAGGTAATGCTTGGCTTTGAAGGGTGCGTGCTCATTCGAGCATTCAGGTAAATCAACATTTTCTGTGGTTTGACGCAGACAGTGGCCTCCTCGTGACGGGGCACACACATTACCCCACACGGCACCCGGCGAGGACTATTGTACGTCGCCCCTCTTGCTCTGTTATCTGCTAGCTCATTTCAATGTGGTTTTGGCTGCTTATGCCAGGAATGTTTTTCTTTTTTTCTGAGGCAGACAAGCCTGAAGCACACACATCAATTCATTCTTCACCACCCGCAGGTCCCCCTATTTTAAAATAATTAATGTTCAGCGTCATCGAAGCTTGAGCACACATATCTCAGGTGTTGCCCTGAACAGATACAAGGTTTTGCTGTCACAGGTCCTTTGAAATGCTGTGAGTGGATCTTTCTTGCACAGCACTTAATGCATTTATAGGAATGATCACAGATTAATGGGAGGCAATTACTTATCCAAACCACTACACAAACTCGATATGATGAAACTCAATTTTAAAAATTTCCCGATTCAACCGATTCTTCTATTCCCTGCAGCTGGCCGTAGTTCTTAGTGATGTCGTTAACTTGAATTAATGAAGCTATTATTGCACTAAACCTTGTTTAACAAAGTTTTTTCATTGTCACAAACGACTCCGATTTTCGGATTATCCGCGGGCCCCATCTTCCAAGGAAGGGCGTTTTTGTGTTGGGGGGACGACATCCGGCGACTAACGACCCAGCGTGGCGCCGGCTCGTCTACCCTGCACCTGTACCGAAAGGGGCACTGGCGGTCCAAACAAGCAAAATTACCCCCAGATGGGACGGGAGCACGTGTACGCCTCTGAAAAAGTTTCGACTGCATCGGAAAAGGCAGTTGACGTACAGCCAGCAACAAGTGCGGTGGTCGGTGTCGCGAGTCTCGCGTAGGCGGCGAGCATGAAGTGACCCGCGCAACGTATTGAGACGGCTGCAATTCCGGGCACCCTCGTCGTCTACCAAGCCGGCGAGACCTTCAGCGGCACCCGTCAACTCCCCTACGTGCACCAAGAGCTGGCCTGGTCCGTATGGAACTTTTTATTGCGACTTTTTTTTTTTAAACTGTTAAATTATTATAACCAGCCTTTTGTTTTTATTTGTAGTTTTGTGCGCTGCGACGCACTTGGAAAAGCGCGACCAATGATCATTCTGTAATTGATTTCTTCTATCTCTCTCCTTTAATTTCCATCTTGTTGTTATTTTATTATTGTTCCGCATATTTGTCTTTTGTCTGTACCTCTTGTAGTGTTCCTTTAGAGCATAGTTTGTAACATATAGCTGTTCTTTCCATCGCGTATCAGTGTTTCTTATTCTGTTATTTTTGTTAACTCCTGCATGTGCCCTTGTTTCAATTAAATGCTAGTTCGTTTTGCATAAAGTCTCCGTGTCTGCTTATGAGTGCGTCAGTCAGGCCCACACGTCACCACACGTGCAACCCCGCACGGGTCGACCAACCTACAAATAAATTTGAAATGTGCCACTTCGAGGCCTTTAAGGCGTCGTAGGCCGAAGCGTAAAGTGGAAGCCTGCGAGTCTGCCGCACGTCGATGTTGGATCGGCGGGGCCTCACCCGAAGTGCGTGACATTCATGTAACAGAAAAAATGCAGTAATATCTTTGTAATCTAGACCGAGATGGGTACTTGTTCAAGCTTGCTCTGTAGTGCCATTTCGTTGAGACGTGTAACCACCCCTGTCATTATCGTTATTTTATTTTCACGAGGCTTCACACAACTAACTTGATAGTCGGTAGCACTTTTTTTTATGTGGAGGCGGTATTGTCCCTCTAAACACTACCACAGGGATGCGGTGGTTTACTAGACAGAAGGCACGAATATTGTCATTGCAACTTTCTTTCTCTGCTTGTTTCGTACTATCAGTGCATTCCTTCTCCCAGTTGATGCATATTGAGAGCTTGTCCTAGCGGTACAGGCCGAGGTACACTGCCACATGAAGCTGTGACAGTGTACGTTGGCCTGTACCACTAGGACATTAAAGGCTCCACGTCCAGCCCCCAATTGCAGACTTTTCACTGGCGCAGACATGTTAGCGGCACACAAAAAGCCGCGGTACCTTTCAAGTGTTGCAACATAACAATCTTAGACTTTGAAAGAACAAGGATCGGAGGAACATTGAAGATTAAACAGTCATACGAGTGTGGTCATCCCTGCCTAAAAGGGGACATGGCACTCTGATTATAATTATCACTAAATTTTTTTAAAAAAGATTACATGTTTGACATTCAAAACACACTTAGAATTATTCAGATCATATCTACAGGATAAACAGTTCATTCAAAATTCTGGTTACTACTTCACAGAAAAAGTGTTGCTGGGTCCCTTTAACTGAAGCCCCCCACCACTGTGGTTTTCCACCACTACGAAACAACTGTCATCAGTGCATATCGCAAATTATGCTTCTTATTGCTCAAAAGGATGAAAAAATGGCATGTGGTAATTTGAGACTTAAATAACTGAAAGCACTACTCTTTAATCAAACTCAATTAGCCTTAATTACATATCCATGCTCTCCACTGACACACAGTACTAAATGCAATGAAATAGATAGGGCAGAATGACAGAATGCAAGAGTAGGGACTGCACCTTGTCGATGTTGGGTCGGGAAAAAGCTCTGCTAACAAGAATTTGGGCATGGAGCTCAGAAGGTCCTCTACAGACTCCTCAGAGATGGCAGAACTGGAGGCAGGAAAGAGAACCAAACACAGGGTGGCGGTTGAAATAACTGTCAGCTCCAACTGGGAATAGTGCTTTCAATAATGACTTTTGCTACGTTAAAGAAATGCTGAATGTGATGACCGATACAGGAGCTGAGTGTCCATTAGAAGTTCCCAAAAGGGGCATAAGAAAATTGAGCAGATAAAAGTCGGTGTTCCTCATATATGTTGTACAATGTAAAAAAAATAAAGGGGTACTGACAAAACTTTGGCCTCACGTTTTATCACTGCAATGTGTTGCCAAGGGGCTGATAGTCATAGCACATCATTTGATGCAGCATGCAACATAAAATACAGGCCCCTCATTATTGACCAGTTTCAGTTTGAGAACACTCCAAAAATGACTAGCAACCAGGTCCAACTCCAATCACCAAGCGTGTACGGCTCTTGACCGCGTCGGTACACAAAACTGTGACGCACTTCCACACGGTCCGCATCAAGAAGTCCATTTGAATAGGAAACGGGACTGCAGCGTCACCAAACACAAAACTTTCAACGCGCCATGCACTCGCGACCAGCTGTCAAGCAGTATAGACTGTTGGAACAAATATGGCAAAAAAAAAAATGGCAGCTATGATGTCATCATAATTTGTTTTAATGACTGCAGCATGGTGATGCAAGAGAAGTAAGGGGTCCCCATGAGGTGTCCCTTTTAAATGTATCAACACCTTCGAAATTCAAACTCCAATATTGCTGTAAAATACCTTCCAAGTCACCATATTTGCCGTTCACATTTTGCAAATGATATATGCATGTTCGTGGGAAACGATCCCGCAGTTCATCTCAGCCCCGAAATTTCGTGTCAGCATCCCTTTAAGACACAAGGCAGGGTCAAATTTGGTTTTTTACATGTTTGGGGTGATAAGGCCTCCTTAAATATATGCAGTGCCCTAAACATTTTTGCACACCTTGGCCTGAGGGAAAAAAAGAACCGCTCTTTCAAGACCAACTTGCAAGCAGCCAAGCACCCTTTCATCAGACCACGCAGAATCTGACCTTTCTGGTTCGATATTTTTGTTTTAATCGACAAATGAAAATTCCCCGAGTATAGCAGGTTTTAGTAATGTATAGCAGCTACTTGTTGCAGTGGTTTTGAACAATTGTAACATTTACAGAGCCAACTTGCCTCGTGTGGGCAAGATGCGCATGGGGAAGCTGTTCAGTTTAGTTTACCTGCGCCCTTGTTTTGTTACAGTGATAAAACAATCTTATGTGGATGAATCAAAGAAACAGATTAGGAAGAGCAGTATAATTTGAAATCTACACACTTTCACCTACAGACAAACGAGACTAGAAGCACCACGACTACAGTTAACTGGGTTTGCGACAAACGCAGAGAAACTGTGGCATTTGTAGAAAACACAATGAATCATGGCCTTTGGAATGTAGGCCCCGTGAATCACCACCTTTGAAACTGCTCCAACTTTCAAAAAGACAGTGGCCCAAGTGAACTTTCTCAAGGCAATTTGGCACATCCCTAATGGTACAAGAGTGGTACTGTATGGTTCGGTGAAATAGACTCGCACTGACAGTACTTGGCCCTTAGAGAGACAGGAGATGTGACAAAACAAGCCAGAAATTGAAGAAAACAAAAAAAGTGAAAAGTTGATCCATGTTACTACTATAGGGAGCATTGCCATGCATTAAACTATACAGTACACCTTTCTGAACAAAACGTGAAATAAACTTGTTTATATTTATTAACTGTCAATATTTCAAAATAAATTTGCCCATTACCAAACCTTTAAAAGACGAAAAGCTGATTTTATGCCAGAATAAATTAAAATGCATTGCAAAGCTACTGAACCAGAATGGTGTTTGTACGATGAAAAATGACAAATCCCCGTACATTCGCGAGTAACACCCTTTCCTGCATAAGATTTGAATGCCCCATTTCGCTGGCTAAGAAAAAAAATCTTCGCGTATTGCTTGCACACTTCATAATGGAAAGTCTGCATCAATAGTTGATCAACATTTCACCCTAGAGGATTTCATCTTACCCTTTAAAAAGGTGTATTCGTACAACAGGCGAAGTCACGGTTCAAGCCTGCAAATTGTGTACTAAGTCAACATACGTAACTTATTCCCGCGTTCCCACTTCGATCCGTGAGGAAGAGGCCCTAATCACAGTTGAAATTCTCAGGGAGCAATGCCAAAGCCATCGCTTGTGTGAATTCTCCACTGCTGTGCGAATTGGATGTGAAGAGACCTGAATCACGCACTGGATTCACCCCCCATCATATACGTCGTATGAATGCATAGGCATAATATCGCCTAGTGTCCGATTCAAGTAGTGCAGCCATCCACTCGTGAGGTAGGCCTAGCTGTCTCGATCTCCGTCAATATGGCGCGACGCATACTTCTCACTTCTTCAAAGAACTTCCCTAGCTGAACCTCCAGCTAATAGTAAGCACTGTTCTTGGGGGCCACGTAACGACCTATAATCTGAGCGCGTGGATAGTACGCTGTCCTCCTACCTACAATGTCGCACGCAGCACTCGTGCACATTGTACTATCTTTGCAATTTCGAAGTTCCTTGGTGGCGGCAAAGACCTTCAGCTATTGTGACACAGTGAACAACTGCCGCCAAATGCTACTCATAATGACACAACAGATCGATCTACACATGGCAAACTGGTCAAGATGCAGAGATGAAGTGGTATCAACGAAATAAAGAGGCTTAGTGTTACTGTGTAAAGGCTTAATGGCAGAACGCACAGTGTTGTGAAGCTCCATTAAAACAAAAACCCTGCACCCCAACTTTGTCACTGCAATTTTCGCATTTTTCGGAGTGGGTTATACGTACGAGAAAATACGATACTTGCCTAGCTAAAAAATTGCAAAAAATGTTAACACCTTCAACTCTATTGTAGTTCTAGTTCCACTGCAAACAGAAATGCCAAAGAATAATTTGAAACAGACCCGAACACTTTAAATGTAGTAGCTTCAAAGAAAAACGGGTCCCAAAGGAGCTTTAAAATGCAAGGGAGGTATAGGCACAGCCTGTGCCCATTAGCTTGCATATTTTGTTGACACAGAAAAACATTGTACAACACTCAATTTTCACCATTTGGAGTTCATAGTAACAAACGAGAGTCAAAACTCTTGGAAGTGCACAAAACGAGGCACGGTAAACGTTCCACAAATTATATCGCAACAGTCGCACCAATTACTTGCACAATAACACTGTGCAGAACATAGCTCACCCTGCTCCTCCACTAGAAAGCCTCAAGTCCAACTGCTTCACCTGCTCCCACCACAAACGTTTCGCACGTGAACGCCGCTCCGACGGCAGCTCCTTGTGTTCAGCCTTAACACCAGCCACAACCGGGTCTACTCTGTGAAAAATAAAACAAAAGAACGCAAATTTTGCATGGATTGAAGACAGGTCGTTATGCAAGTATTGTGCAACATCACCGCCGATCACTAAATGCAAGGGCATAAATGCTTGAGACTGTAAAAATCGTAAGACTGTAAATGTAAATTGAGACTGTAATAATAGAATCAATGCAGCCAAATGAGGCAGGCCAAAGTTTAAAAATACTACTAAATGTTAAACTGCCAAAATTTTGCTCAACATACTACTCTCAATACATTTCAAACTACTGAGTGTTCTTAGGATGCAATAAAAAAACTGAAAATGGGACTGTGGGGGCAAATGCAAACCAACATCTGTTTATAAGGAGCCATTTCATCACACACACACACATGGATGTGTAGAACCAGTTACAAAAACATAAAAGAAGAACAATCACACCTGCCACACAACTAAAATGTACAATTTGAAATTTACACCCATAAAAATTTTTATCGACAGGAGTAATGATTAAAAGGCTAATCAGTAGTGTCACGAGCGTAAACATCAAGATGAAAATACATAGTACAGTTCTTTTATCTTGCTTTTGAAACTGTGGTAGTTGCCATGTACATATGTAGTATACACAGCCCGAAACAGGCAGTCGTTAAGTTTGCACTCGTGTTCCGAGTGTCCGTTACAGTGCTAATGTCAAAGACTGCCTAACATGTCGCGGCATAATCTTTCAAGGATGCCTCAAACTGTCTTTAACAAGAGGAGCCTTTTTAGGTTTAGCTGCATAGTGAGGCAATTGTATACGAAAGCTGTTGCAAACTGGTCATGTACAGCCTTGCATCTCAAGAATTGTTGTCTGCGAGCGACAGGGGAAGTCCTTACATTGAACATCTCGACGTGCCAGGCTTATTCTTGTCTGTGGTGTCGATATCCTTGCCCTTGGCCACTGATGACAGCAGCCTGTCCTGTTTGTGCCTCAGCTTGGCTGGCATAATATACTCCTGGTACTCTACTGGATTCAGTTTCCAGCGCAGCTTGGCAGGCAGGGCAAACGCAGGTGCCACAAAAGGAGAACCAAGGCTGGGGACGCTGTTGCTCAGACTACAAAGGAGAAGCACACGACTTTTCAGGTGTCATAAGGATATGTATTGACACTGACAGTTCTGCTACCCTTCATTTTTTTCCCTTTTAAGAATACGAGCATGAACACTCTAAAAGCAGGCATAACTTTCCTCTAAAAACCGGGATAACTTTCTGAAATAACTTTTACGAACAGCTTTCAGTCATATCGCACAAATGTATGCATCACGGCTTCAAAAGTGCAGCAAGAAATATGCAAAACGGTATCTTTCTTGGAATTAGAACTAATCAAAGTAATAAACAATGAAGCAAAAGAATGTACTGTAAGAGACATGTGTAGTTTATAAATGTAAATTGAAGTGCGCACAGCAACAACTTAGTGTGAGTGAGTAACAACTTTCTATGCATATGTTGTATTGCTCCACCAATAATGAATACTATTCAAAATGTACAATACAATCTGTCGACCATTGGTAAGTTCATTCCTCCACGTTTCATTGGGCAGAAAAACGAAACCAGTTGCATATCGCAGTCCTTCAGATGCTAGTCACGGACTATTTATATTCCTTCTGCAATGACTTTTCTTTGCTTCGTGCACTGTTCCGACAACAAGGGAGCCACGAAACTGCCGAGAACACGGTAGTAGCGATTTCAATCAAATTTTCCTATGGCGCAACTAGTAACAACACTAGCGTGACATTGAGCAACAGTGAAAATTCAAGTAACTTCAAACCGCAGTACAGGAAGACGTCAAAAAGTCAGCTTCGCTGCAGGGGCAAAACAATGAGTGCAATAGCAACAATTTGAAATGCAACGCTGAAAATGGCAAGCAGATTGAAACGTGCAGCACGCTCCTCACAAATGACGCATGAAAACAACACACATAGGACGAGAGCTAACTAACAACGTTTACAGCTTGACCCTTAACACACTGTTCAAACAAAAACGACGCACGAAACGTAACCACAAGCACAGATACGAGTGCAAACTAACAAGTAGCCCAGTTCTTATATTGTGGTGTTTGAAAAGCGCGCTCTTTTCACGAACGAGGCCTTTCTAGCGAGCAAAGTGATTTTTGTGCACCCCCCAACTATGTATACACAGTCATTCCAGTGAAAGCCAAAAGCGCACGATTCTCCCCCACCACAGCGGATAAGGCCCCTTTCCCTGTGCGGAGCAAAGCACGCGTGGGAGATGAGCACCGAGCTTTATCCTGAGCACGCTCATCGCAAAATGCTGAAAATATGCCGTTTGCTCCAAGATAGGCCCCACCAGCGAAAAGTGATAGATATAAATAACTTGCCTATTCAACGTTGAAGGAAGTGTTCCTTCATGGCTCAGTGGCTAATGCTGTGCACTCACGAATGAAAGGTCGGCCATTCGATTCCGCGCGCCGGAGTCTTTTTCTGGATTATTTTTCTTTCTTGCATTTTCATATACATATATATATATATACGTATACACATATTGTGAATGAGGATGACGCCGATGGTGGCGTAAAACAAAGGTTGTATGGCCACTCATACATTGCTTTCTCAATAGTCTGCCAAACTATGGCAACTGCTCGACAAGAGCAGACTTGTGACGCCTGCAAAATAAGTAGACCTTGCACTGTATAATGTGTGCCCGTAATTATGCAATCCTTTCTTATGTGCAAGCCCTCTCAATGGGCACCATCTACGACAGGCCAGTCATCTTGCAATGCTCTGGCGGTGGGACCAAATGCAAAATGGTTTGTAGGGTTGGTAATCTCAGCATCATCAACTCTCCGCGAAGTTGTAACTGTCATGACACTACACAAATTTCACCCTTGTTGACAATGAGGGCACTTATTTGCCGCACATGCAGTGTGCGACGCACTATGGTGTGGCTGTGGTAATGTCGATATCTCATGTGAGCATGTGACCAGAAGCTTATAATACCCTAATTTTGCGCGTATAACCCGCCCCAGCATATAATCCGCACTCCCCCTTTCAGCTCACCGAGAAAGAAAAAAAAAATCCTCGTGTATTGCCCGCACATTTGATATACAGGAAAGGCTGTACAAAAGCTACTGCCCAAGCAACATAGCACATATGTAGACAGAAAAAGATTTATTTAGCAAGCAGAATACGCTGTCTGCAAGGCCAGTCACAATTCACTTACTGTCGCTGCTCTCGTTAGAGCTATCACTTGAGCCGCAGTCCTCACTATTATGCACAAGGTCATCTTCGGTTCCATTTATGTTGTTTGTGATGCAGCATTTTTTGAAACTTTTTCGCACCATCTCATCTCGAATGGCCTTCCATGCCTCGACAATCCACTTGCAGAATAGGGCAATATCAGGCCTTCGGACTCGTCCTGTCGGCGTCAAGTCGTAGAGGCCTTCGGCCATCCACTCGGCGTAATAGCGCTTGACATGCGCTTTGAAGGGCTTGTTAAGCGACACATCTAGAGGCTGCAACATTGACGTCATTCCACCGAGTATAACAACTAAGTTGGTGCCGTTGCGTGAAAGGCGGTCCTTCACTTCCTCAGTTGTGTGGCCGCGGAACGAGTAGAGAACGAGCATGGACCTCTTTGCGAGCATCCCACCGGGCCTCTTCTCCCATACCGTCTTGATCCACTGTACGAACAAGTTACTGTTCACCCACGCGTTCTCGTGTGCGCGCACCACCACACCGGCAGGCAAATGAACCTTTGGGAGAGTTTTCCTTTTCAAGATGACGTACGGTCGCAGTTGCGTGCCGTCAGCGAGGGCACGAAGCTAAACTGTGATGCGCAGTTTCGTGTTCCCGCCGGTCAGCACGCTCACCGAACTGCTGCCCTTCTTCCCAATCGTTGTGTCCAACGGCATTTCAAAATAAACAGGAGTTTCATCCGCATTGCCGATTTGCGAGAAAATGTAATTGTGCTGCTTTCGCAGGCTATTGCAGGCTATCGCAGGCTGCTTTCGCAGGCTATTAGATATCTCTGGTACTTGAGCAGCTTCTCCTCATAAGAAGCCGGCAAGCGTTGACATATTGTAGTCTGCCGTCTCATTGAGAGCCCTTGCCACTTCATAAAGCAGTGCAGCCATCCGCGGCTTGTACGGAACTAGTGAGGTAGGCCTAGCTCCCTCGAAAGTCGCCGCGCTTCCACTTGGGCCATCTCAGGTCGATACGGCGTGACCCCTGCTTCTCACATCTTCGATGAACTTTACTAGCTCCGCCTCCAGCGCAGGGTAGGCACCGGTCTTGGGGCCACGAAATGACCTACGGGCGGGGTGCGCGGCTTGTAGGCTCTCTTTCTTCTTTCTCCACAGTCGCACGCAGGACTCGTCCACATCGTGCCGTCTTCCCGCTTCGCGATTTTCGAATTCCTCGGCGACGGCGATGATCTTAAGCTTTTGCTGTGTCGTGAAGGCCTGCCGCCGTACTGCTACTCATGGTGGCAGAACAGATCGACTAAGGCTCGGCGAACGGGTCGAGATGTGGAGCACTAGCGGTATCAGCGAGGTAAAGAGCGCTCACACTCGCGACCACTTGACAGCACTACCCCTTCTAGTACACTGTAACAGCACCCTGAAACACAACAGAACCGAAATGCATGCCTGGTACCGCGTCAAAAAGTAGTACATTAATTTACTGATTAATATCTCTATAAGCACTATAATACCTCATTTGCCTAGCTGAAATAAATACTGATTTATTTATTATGAAACTTACTTTATTTATTATGGAACTTTCTTAGACAGCACCACCTTTTCGGCAAGCCCTTTCCAAAAGTAAACATGGCGTCCGTGACGTAGGGACATGTGGAGGGTCACTGAGCGACCGCGAACGTCCGAAAAATATACTTGTGGTGCGACAGTGAGATTTTACACTGAACAATCGAATTGTCTCTCCCCAAATGTTTTTCTACATGCTTCAACGATGCAAGCAAGCGAAACCAAAATCGGCCGCAAGCTGCCGTGCTACTTGCGGAGCAACACGAATTTGCGAAAACCGCCTCCGTAGCCTTTGCTACACTGTTAAGGCGCTTCACAGCACAACACGCATTGCTGTGAAGCAGCACTATAGGAAAAACCCCACGTATTATCCGCACCTTCCACTTTGCCACTGAATTTTTTTTGGTTTCTTGGGGCAGGTTATACACGCGAAAATACGGTATGTTGCGATGTCAAAGAGCAGTAGGTGCCAAAACTAAGTTTTCAAAATAGCTGTACAACTGATTTCTCAAAATACACATTAACCTTACTAGGACATTATTTAGGCTCCCGAGGGTACGGCTTTTTATTTATTAGAATAAAAATATCGAAAACTAAAAAATTGCGTGTCAGCACCCCCTTTCAGATTTGGACCAGTTTTTGTAGCAGAAAAAAAAAAGCAGTTTTAGAGCAACTTTGAAAAATTTTTGCGGATCTAGCTCTGCCACTGTAAAAATGGCATTTATGGTCACTTGGAGCAATACTACAGTAAGCACTCAGGTTATTTTCGAGACCACAATGCGTCTATGGTTATTCCAGAGACCACAGCACAATATGGCGAGTATATGCTTTGATGAGTCGCTCAGAAGGACCATCATGTTGCACTATAGCAAGCCGACTTAAATATATTTGGTGAAGCAAAGTCCATTTGCTCGCTTATAGACAACAAGTTGCTCATCCGTTAGCGTACACATGAATGCTGTACAAGACTAGCTCATTTTTCATCTGCAAACTCGTACCTTAGCCTTTGTGCCAACAGATCGCTTTCAGTGACATAGTTGCCACGACAAATGAGACGTGGTCTTGGTCTTGCAGTCGCACTCATGACAAATGTGACGGCTTGAGTCTTGTTTGTGCTGTATTGCGCTGGATGAAACCTGAAACGTTTTCATCCACTTAGAGTTGGGCACTGATCAGGTATAAAAAAAACGACGCTATTGATCCTCCAGTAAATAGAAAAACTGACAGAAAACAGGACGGCCTACATTAAAGATTTCCTCAAAATTTCAATAAAGCATCATAAAGGGGGCTAGCCATTCACATGAGGCTGTCAAGAAAAGGAGAAAGCCGCTTTTCTTAGTGCCGAGTGCAGCCTGCCAGCATAAAGCTAAGGACAGCAGCACAACTTAGCATTGGCTGCTAAGTGCAAGCTGATGAATCGGTGCAAACGTAGGGTTTCTACGAAACCACCACAGCAAATTTTGGTCATTTGAAGTTTGTGCAATCTCCATACAAAAGCTGCCATATACTTCACCCCATCTGAGTGCTACTGTCGTCACAGCTAGGTTTCACAATTTCAAACCTTGTGTTAAACATTAACATGAATAATACTCACTCCCGCTTCCTAGCTTTGTCAAGGTCTGGCAATGAAATGGGGTATGACCGTGAAGTCTGTAGCAGCTTTGGTCGCAGAGTCGGTCTCTCAGGTGGCAACTCCTCTACAGACTCATCAGTATCAGAGTTGGATCTAGAGAGCAGAGAACGACTTTTACATAACAGATATCATACATGCAACGCATTGTAACACTAGTGCAAGAGTTTTTTTTTATGCGGCACTTTCGTTAAGACCCCTAATATGCATTATCTCCAATGCCACAGCATTACTTACATGATTAAACAAAGATCCCTATCACATGGCACACAGCTCAATGAAACAGCAAGTGTTTGCTTGTCCTTTTTCATAACACAATGCTGCAGCTCAAAAGTGTGCCGATGCCATTGAGCACGTTCCAGTATGGCATTAGGTCCTTTAAGCCACATTGCAACTAACTGAACACAGGAAGTTAAACTTGAGTGTTTCAGGTTTCAAGACACGTACAGCCAACATGGCCTAGGTGATCTGCTTTTGTTGAACTATAAAAAAAGTGAAATGAGCCTCACTGAAACAAGTGGCAAAAGGTGGTTTTTGCGAGCCAGTCTAGCAAATGTTTTCCTAGGCCCCTTCAGATTTCATTTTTGCACACACAACCGGAACAAAAGAATTTAAGTTCTTGGACTGAAAACTCTGAAACTGCCCAATCATTAGAAGGGTTGATGCCCAATCATTAGAAGGGTTGATGCCCAATCATTAGAAGTGTTGATAAGTTGGGAGACAATTTTGCCATCCTATTGTTTGAGCACAAAATTTACCGAAATCCAGGTATGCACCTGTATCTGCAGTTTGCCTCCCATGAAAGGGCGATTGTGACTTTTGCTCAGCAGCAATTCCCGCGCCAGAGAGCTGCCACGAAAAGTGACCAGTTACGGCAGAAATTTGTAGTTGTGTGGTTAGAACACCCAAATGCAAGGATACAGAAAAAAAAGTTTTTCATTAATAACGTGATTTAACTAATTGACAACATGCTTAACAAGCTTTCGTATACGAAATCAGAGACCTGTAGAAATCATTTGTGTTGCACTTTGTTCATGTTGCTGAGCGCTATTCTGAATACCAATCATGTTGAATACAAATGTTTGACAGATGTTTGGGAAGGTGGCTACAGGAGCAGTTTCCGAGAAGGAAAATTCCAACTGCTTTTAGCTGCCATCATCACCCAATGATGCCACTGCTTGTGAATCAATTGGCAAGCCTTTCGCAAAGCCACTGAAAATAAATTATATTTTGAAATTTCACAACGGCACACAGTGGTAGCATCAGTGTGGTGCCACAAGTTTTCAAAAATTGTCTCCGTATTCAGCCTCTTCACAATCCAGGAAACAAGAGTTCTGTTTTGGTTCCTTCATATACAGGAGACTCAGAAATCTGATGGGAGTAGGAAAATGCATTCCATTTAAATGGAATTCAATACACCAAGAGATGAAATTGAGTGCAGACTTTAAGCGTGTGACCGATCACATTACAAGCAGTTGTTTCATTCAGGCAGCATTTCTACTTAAAGATGTCAACCGAGTACTGTAATGTTATGAACAATAATTACCAACACATTAAAGGGACACTCAAGGCAATTGACAATTTATGTTACAGTGAAAGCTCAATGTATGACAACATCTAAAACAGCAATATAATCAACAGCTGTCTCTTGCTCAGCAAGAAATGAAGCTAAATGTATCACACGACATCCGCCGCAAGTGGAACATTTGCGAAACGATCCCGATGACCTGAGAGCATCCGACTACAACTAATCGCTACTAATTGAACTACCTGCAATAGAACCACCTGCCATAACAAAAAAAATGGTGCGAGTGGTTCAAAAGTTCAGTTTTCAGCTAGTTAAAATGGATAGGTGGTGCCATCTAGCAGGGACCAGTTCAACCAAGCAAGCAAAACCATGACCTTCGAGATTGTAAATGTTCCCCTCACCTCTTCCCCCAGAACAGTGTAGCAAACCAGACATGCATCTGGTTGACCTCCCTGCCTTTCATTTCTTCCCTTCCTTCTCCTCCCCTTCCTTCTCCTCAGTAGCAGCTGTTGCTACTGTGGCTTTCTGTACTTTCACTGTGCTGCTACAGGTGCCGACAGCCGCGCAGTAAAGGTGGGCAATGTTGGGCATGGCAACACTGACATCACAAAGATTGCTTTTAGGTGGTCAATTTAAAGTTCGCTAACGCGATGCCGACCGTCAAAACTCGATTTCATTTCCAAATAAGCACTTCTTTGGTACAAAAGTAGCACAACGAGGTTTCTGGACTAATATTAAAGGGGGGACGCGGGTCTTAGAATGGTGAAAAATGGCCAAAATGTCGATTTTGAGAAAATGCGATATTTGAAATTTTTAGACCTATCAGCACATGTCCTCGAATTGTGAACGCTGAATTCGATGAGTAAATGGATTAAAATTGATTATGAAGTCGCCACGGGAGCCGCAAAACAACCCCCGGCAGGTCGAACCGTTCCTCGCTGTTCCCCCTGTTCCTCGCTTCCCATTGGCTGATGCGGCCAAAGCTGCCCGCGCTTTTTTTTTTTGTATATTGTTCGTCGGCCGCCGGTTCCTGTTCACGCACGTTGTTCGTCTGCTTCCCGCATGTGCCTGCTTGTGCTACGCGACCGACGCACCGACTTTCCGTCTTTTGCCAGCATGATTGCAGACGCTCATCTAAAGAAGAAGAAGCACCAAGCGTACGGCAAGAAACGGAGGCGCCCATAGAACGCCCGCCAGAAGAAAGCAGTCGACAACGTGCAGCCGATTTCGCCCAATGCCACCGAAGCGGCGCATTTCAACGACGGCGCGCAGCCGCGGCCGCTTGTGTCCGAAGCGGTGCACTATCCTGTGCGTTGCAGCAGCACCTCATCGGATTGTGTCGTATTCGGATCGTCATCTTGCACTTCCAGCCGCATCCTAGACTGCATTGACATGGCGTTTTATTCGGCGGACGAGTTTGCCGAGTGCACGAGAAATGCAGCGGGCTTGAAGGCATCACTCGCATCGCAGTGCGCGACGGAACGTAAGTTCGAGTTACTAGATAATGATCTGGAGGATGGTGGCAAAGAAAACGGGACAGAATTTGTTATTGTTGATCTGGCAGCGTTTTGCTCGTTATTTGGGCTTGCCGCGTGCCCAGAATGCGGTGAAAGAAGTGACACTATTTCAAAAACCAAGAAAGAGTGCGGGCTGTGTTCGAAGCTCATAGCCACGTGCGGAAGTTGTGACTTTCGCGAAGAGCGTTTTTCGTCCCCACGTATAGCCGACGAGACCGACGCCAAAATAAGGCCGTTTGAAGTTAATATGCGTGCCATAAAGGCAATCAAAAGTATCGGCAAGGGGGCAACGGCTGTCAGACTTCTTCGCCGGGATGAATATTTCGCATAGAGGGCTTCACCACAAAAGTTACCAAAGCCACGTGAATATAATGAAAAAAGCCTGCTGTGCGACTGCTGCCGAATGCGAAGCGGCGAGCGTTGCTCGCGTCAAGGAGCTCTATGCGGAGTTCGGCAACGCGCCCGGAAACGTCGACTTAATTTATGACGGCACCTGGCTTACACGTGGACATAGCTCGCATATATGTGTTGGCTGCATTGTTGAGATGTATAGTGACCTCGTGATAGACCATATCGTGCTATCGAACTTTTGCTTGGCTTGTACCACAGGACCTAAGGAAGGAGAAGCAGGACATTCTGCCTGGCTCATTCAGCATGCCCCTCTGTGCCAGAAGAATGTTGATTGTAATACTGGCCAGATGGAAGTGGAGGCAGCACTACGCTTGTTTGAGCGGTCACTTGAAAAGCACAAGCTTCGTTATACGACAATGCTGTGGGACGGCGACAGCAGGACATTCCATGCACTCAGCAGAAAAAGAGGTGTACGGCTTCATAAAGGTGGCCAAAAAGGACTGCATAAATCATGCACACAAGCGTATGGGAGCTGCCTTACGTACCCTTGTAGAGAAAAAAAAAAAAAAAAAAGCTCAAGGTGGCTCACTTGGTGGAAAGGGCAGACTTACACAACAAAAGATAAAGAAGATCACCTCCTACTATGGCTACGCATTGAGAAGCCACAGGAACGATGTTCCAGGTATGCAGAAGGCTGTTCTAGCAACTTTGAACCACATGTCTTCAACTGACGAGGCACCAAAGCATGACCTTTGCCCTGAAGGCCCTGAATCCTGGTGCTAATTCAGGACAGTTTGCCCTGATTTCGTAACCGAGTCATTGGAGCCTGTGTTTAGGCGGCTGAGCGACAATGCCCTCTTGGAAAGGTGCAGTGATGGGATCACCCAGAACCCAAGTGAGAGCCTGCACGCTACGATTTGGCAGCAGGCCCCCCAAAGTCAGCATGCATCCTTGCGGAGCCGACGCGCGAGATCGCAGTACTCAGAGTGTTCTCTAGATTGACGCACGAACGGACGCATGGACGGACAGACAGAGAGACAGACAGACAGACTGGCAGACAGACTGGCAGAGAGACGGACAGGTAGACGGGCGCGTAAAGCGGCTATGTGCCACAGGGTATGCGAGATTGTGCTACTTTGAGTGTTCTCATTGAAAGGGCAGTTGCCGAAGCCATCAGCCGCTTCAACCAAGGCACAACCAAGAGCAACGTGGAAATTGCCGAGAAGCTGGACCACAGCGCTGGTAATAACTTGCCAAAAAAAAATAACTTGGTGCATCGCAGCCTTGAGAAGGAGAAGAGCAGGCTGCAAAAGCTGCGAAGAGAGCATCTCGACAGCAGTTCAATAAAGGAAAGACTTTCAAAGCGTCATAAGCCAGCAGGGGACTCTGCTTACAGCCCTGGTCTGCTGTAAACAGTCATGATGGCAAATAGTGAGATTTTTCGCTAAAATAAATATTCTTGGTTTTAGACCTAAACATTGTGTAAATCTATTGTCTATCCATAGACAACATTATTACATGATTTTTTTGTGTTCCTTTCACTAGCAAGGCACTGGAACGACCACAAAGTAAAAAAATAATTCTCATGCTGAGTCAATGGCTATTTTATAGTTCTAGAACAAGCTGTGAGCAGTATTCTGGGTGGGTACAGTGATATTAAGCATGGCCATTTATCCTATAATATAGAGCTACAGAACGATGTCATTAATATTGTTGTAGCTTCACTTTAAACAAAAGTTAAAGTTGCTAGAAACTTCAAAAGTGTTTTTCTCAGTTCGATGTTTTTGCACATCGCACTCGGCCTTACGGGGGTTTTTCCTATGTTAAACTTGAGTGAATGTGACAAAGTTGGTATCATTTTATTCATCTTGACATGATCTAGGGGGTGATGCTATTTCTATTTCTCTAGCATCACTTCAAAAATTCTAACAGAAGATTTTAGCGAGAGAAATTTATTGTAACATAGTGGCCATAAGTGTTCGTCCGTTTTCTTGCTTATAAAATGCCTTGAAATGGATAAAAATAGCATCACCCCCTACAGCAAGTCTCCAGCATTGGGATTATGCCTTCACTTTTTGGACTTAGCAAGAATAAATTGCCAAGAAGTCGCGTAAGAAGTACCCAATTAATTAAGATTCAGACCTTCATATTTTCTAAACCACTTGAAATATTAAGAAACAAATTAGAGATCTGAAATCATCATGAAAACTAGCTTAGGTAGTGAAGTTTGGTTAAGATTTAGCAAAAATTTTTAGAACCCACTTTCCCCCTTAAACAATCAACACAGATTTGACATTTACCTTTAGTGTCCCTTTAACACAGTCCAGTCAGATGTCGAAATGCCTCATGCAAGTTAGCAAGAAAACAAGGCGAAATGGACGACTGTCGCTGAACTTTAAACTTTGTACGGCTTACAATACCTTTGCTGCAAGTTTTGTTACTATTGTACATGAACAATGTAGTTTAAGCTTTTTTCAAGTAACCTCTGCAACATTTGGGTAACCTTCAGGTACTGCAAGCTCTCTTAGTAGTAAACTCTGCAGTAGCAAAGTAATGCAGAAAGGTAACTGTTGCAGTAAACTTTGCAACATTAAAAGGTGTATGAATTTATCTCGGCAGCTGTAGCATGAACCACACAAGTACTATCGCACATTGAACATGCAAGAGTTCTTTTTTCCATGGCGAGGCAACCCACTTACATTTTTTCAGCTTGATCAATAGCACTTTCACATTCATCTTCTTCAGGGTCCTCAGATCCAGAGGATTCATCTTTTTGGAACAACTTGGGGCGACATGCTCTCTCCAGGTACGGCCTCACTTTTGCTTCACTGAACATTATATCATCTGTCTGCAACTCTTGCACCATTTCAGCACTACGAGCAGGCACTGGAGGCAACAAATTGAATGTGCTACGTTAGAAAAAAAACCACACAGAGCAAGGTGGTAGACCACAGCTACAAAAAGGCCAGAGGTTAGGCGATTGGCTACATGAATAGAAGTTGTAGAAGGATGAAATGTGCCAGACAGACAAGCTACCCAGTCACGTTCCAAGTTGTAGAGTACAAAACGCATGTGGTACAAGGAACTAGTTTTCTAAGGAACCTGGCATTGGGGTTTCTAGTAAGTCAAAATCTTGTGAAACAGCACCATGGGTTGATTTCAGGAAAGCTCTAGACTGAATTACGTGACCTCTGGTAGGTAAGTAGTTTACGTAATAGTACCAAGAAATCCTGGTATAGACAAACTTGGTAACCTAAAAATGCTGAACACAGAGGAAGTGGGGATACATGAACCAGGATTGCCTAAATGTAACACATTCCTTACAAGTAAGGCCTTGCATTCGCTCCACTAAACACTATATCACGTTTCTTACTGAACGCACCTCGTATTTGAAAATTTCACAATGGCACACCACTGTTGCATCAGTATTCAGTCTCTTTGCAATTCAAGAATCAAAAGTTATGTGCTAGTTCTATTATGCTATCAGCCATTTGTCACTGAAACTGCGGAAACGAATTGTGTTGCTTGGTCCAGTAGCTTCAATATACACTGAAGCCAATTAAGAGAACGACATAGAATTTGGAATAGACCTCGCTTTGAGAAAAGACACTTTAGATTTGCATTTGATTCAAAGTTGGAAGAGGCCAACAGAACAGCAAGAAGTTACTTCTTTTGAGCAACAAAAGTGACTTGACTATATTTCTATAACAGAAGCAAGTTCAAGAGCGTTCAAGACAGGCTCACCTAGGTGGATTTATGTGGCGATAAGCTTTGAGACCTACAAGTGAAGCAGTCTTCTGATCAAGACTCTCTTCTTTCGGCTTCAGAGAAGGCTTCCCAGCAAGCGATGATCCCAGTGTGGTATCTGACCAACACATCGAGAATCTCCTTCAAAAGAAGCAAGAGACAAGCAGGAGTCATCCTGTACGAGTCATCCTGTACATGTATAGCAAAAACCTTGTGTCATGTTAACATCTTCGCACACTATCAAGGCAAGTTAAATGTGCAAATGCTCACATGCAAATGTGACTACTGATACACAAAAAAGAAAAATGTTTTATCTTGCCTATTGACAATTGCCCACATTCTCTGAACACTAAAAAACGCACACACACACCTTGGGCACCCATTTCCATAGCTGTAAATATCATGGTTACGAATTGGCCACCACAACAAAATGCTAACATTGGCATTAATCTACGGTTCCAAAGTATGTGTGGACGGCTTTGTGGGCAAGGAATACAAGGAATGTGCAATGAGAATTTCAGTAGGCATTTATTACCGAAATAAATGCTGTACATCAATAATACACGTTTAGGAAAGTTTTGCGAATAAAAAGCCTTTTTGGGAAACTTTGATGCTCAAAGGTGTGGAGGGTCCACTTTATAATAAAACATGCTTAGCAACACGAAAGCTTAATTGAAGACAATGCACATTTATTTACCTAGAATACCACATATATTTCAGAAATCCTATTTGCAGTGACGCAACAGATTGAATTTACTTAAAAACAGCTTCCGAGGCAAACAAAACCAAGCTTTAGAGCATCAAGCACATCTTTTGAAGCAGTTAATAGTCCAATTTCGAATGTGGACTCCCATACCTCTGACAGTTGTACCATGTTTAATGTAATTGACACACAAATATACGAATACATGTTTACTTATAGAATTACAGAAAACGAAATTAAATTATTGCTCTTCTTTGGCTTGTGCCCCCCCACCTCTCCATTCCGTCTGGTCACTGTGCGACTTCACATTTGCCCGCAATATTTCATCTTTGTACGTGAATCAAACTTTCTTCAATGCTTTAGCGACTGCATAAAAGCGCGAACTGTAAATATTACACACATTTTTTTAGTATAAAAAAAATACTATCCTGTCGATCACAACTTTCAGTACAGCCTGAACATATGTAATATAGTGAAGTAAATGATTTGCTTAGTGGAGAGGATGCTTGGACTGCTGTTTTGTGGGCAGATAGCTACATAAGAGGATTAATAATGAACTAATCTAGTTGGCTAAATATCGGGATTAATAATTAACTGATGTCTTGAGAACCAAAACAATGTTGTATGTTAAACAAAGTTTGCCATAATGAAATGCTTTTGTGTTTTTTTTAGATGAACTTTGGTCTCTGTCAAGAAGGATCGAGACATCAGCATATACAATAGTATATGTCGCGAATATTCTCAGCAAAATGCAACAGGCCTCTGCTTTAAGTAGAATGGTCGATATATCCCGAATGCAGTACCATATTACAACAAAGGCTCTGGATGACCTCTTCTTGAAGTTGATTAGACATTAATGGGAAAAAAAACACTTGGTGGTCAGTTCAGACATACATATACGCTTATTGTAATTCATGCAATCAAACTAATGAAAGGCTGCTGTCCTAGAAAAACCTGTACTTGTACCAAGCATTACTTTCCTCCAATGCCAAAACAATTTCTATGTACTCATCTAATAATGCTAATCTGCCACTTGAGATAAACTATTTACACAGCAAGGGTTTGTCACATTGCTTGACAGCGTAATAAGTAGCCCTCGTCTCCATTTCTCAGCAGGTGAAATTAACACGTAGAATGACCGCTGCATTAATTTCATAGTCCTGTACAACTCTAAAAAGCAGAAGCCATGTCAATGCCAGATGCACACAAGTCTACATCAACGTGCACGGCGCTCTACGTAGGAGTCATGAGTCGGAGGGACGATGACCCCATTGTCTCAGAACGGTGCTGAGAACATAAGCGGGCTTTTTATTTAGCCACAAGGCGATCGGCTGCTGCGTTTTCATGGTTCCATCACCTCTGCAAGAGCTCTCTTAGCGCATATAAACTTGACATGCTTTCGCTCCGGAAGGCTGCAAAAATGATGTATTGGTGTACACTCACCCCATATTAGATTTTTTTCCAAAATGAAGCACGATGTAGATGTTTCATCTCTTGGTGCAGTTTGGAGCAGTTATTTAACTAACCTGATCCCCTCGCACCAAATTTGTATGCTATATCAGGACACCTGCGATATGTACGACATTACTCCAACACGCAAAGTTTACGTTCTGCAGTAAGACCACTTCTGCATTTGGCGACTATTTCATTAATGACTGCCACAGGGACTCTTAAATGAATGTAGTCCAGACACTAAAACTAGCTGTACTTGCATCTCATTAATTTCCATAGTTATTCTAAACTTCTTATACCAACTGGAGCAATGAAGGTAAAGTACTTGGGTATTACACGCCTAACTGAAGTTGGAGTGAGCATGTTGCTAACATTTATGGATGAGCTCAGCAAAAGCTGAGAATGCTACTACGCAAGCTAAAACAGGCATCTCCTCATCTAAAGCTTAAGGCTTACACAACGGTTGTTCGACCCACCCTGGAGTGTGGGATCCGTACCGACTAACTCTTAATGAATCAGATCGAGCGAGTGCAGAACAGAAGGACTGAAGTATCAAGTACAGTCCTAAGTACAGAAGGACTGAATCAATCCGTCACTGCATTGATTAATACTGGCAAACCTTACAAGGTTAGCTTCACACAGAAAAACAGCAAGACTAAAATTTTTTATCAACTGTATCATGGTATCTAAACTTCGATCCCAGACTTTACTTGTGGCCTCAAGGCAGAGTACCACCTCGATCCTCTCACCCTTATGTTGCAAGAACTTGCGTATCCAGAGTTGATGTCTGCAAGCATTCTTTCTTGGTAAAACCAATTGAAGACTGGGATAAACTAAACCCGGAAATATTTGATAGAGCGATTTCACTCGAGAGTTCCAATGAAAAACTGCAGTCACTGGGTGTATAATACAGATATTCTTACGTATAACTGCAGTGCTGTTGTTGTGTACGAATGCTTTTTTGCACGAGTTTTTAGTTTGAACTGAGCTGTTTGTGCTATGCTGTCTGTATATACATAACAATACATTGCAATATGGAGGTAAATGATTACACGGTCAATACACAGGAGGTTCATTGCATCCAAACGTCAACATTTTGCTTTTTCTTGGCAGCTTGTCGACGGAATTAGAAAAAAAAGTTATGTACACACAATTGTATGTTTAGAAAGTGTCAAAAAGTCCACTTAAATCTTAAAGGGCCACTAAACTACAATATCACAAAAACTGAAGTCATTACTCTCACCACAAGAACATGCTTGCTAAGCAAAGACACATATGCAAAGAAATGAGCAAATAGAAAATACAGGTGGCGATGCAGCTCAAGTTGCAACTTATCGCACCACCTCGCCGTGGCATCATTTTGACAACGCCTAGTAGGGCATAAGCAAATGTTTATTGGCAAGAATTATTGACAGTGTTTTGAGGCACCCAAAGTCCTGCCAGTATCCACAAGCATATGCTCAGAGCAAAATTCAGCTAATTTGACTCATTCTGTTTTTTTTTAATAGGTGTCCTACGATGGCAAGCTTAATGGCAGCACAGCTATAAAAGAGTAATCTACCTGTCTAAACTGACCTAATGTGTCACTTTAGTGCCTCTCTGAGCGAGATCCTGGGCTTTGTTCCTAGAGAGCAACCGAGTCTAGTTGCTGTAAGTGAGAGTCGCATGAATGAAGAGGCCACATTGATAACACACTATCTGGAAAAGCAGAGCAAACAGCGTGCCAGTTTGCACTTATTTCAGAAGCGTTAGTATAAGCCAGCAGCAAGCATACTGAAATCAAGCACAGGCAATGATGGGAAGAGAGTAGAGAAAAAAGAATCATGCAGGAAGGAAGCAGCATGCGGGGTACTAACACAGAGTCACGGCGGAAGATAGCTCGAGAGAGAGGGTCACGAGCCTTGAGCCTTGCCAAGCGAAGCCTGGCCAGCTTCCGCTGCTGCCAGCTCATGTTGAGAGACTGCATGCGTTTGGTCCTGCCCCGACCACCGTTGGCCCTGCTGCCGCTGCTGTGACGAAAACACAGCCAAGCTGCAGTTCCATGCGACCTCAGAGCGATGCCCGAAGATAGTACCAAGCGTTTTGGCGCACTACGTTTAAACCAGCTGGAGCGCTATTTGATTCCGGTTGTGTTGCGCTGTTAGTCACCAACAAGTGCACAGAGTTTGGTACAAATAGTGCAGAGAGAGTTGTCTTGCAGAAAGTATTCAACCACAATGGTATACTCAATACTGGTTGTGCAAGACATTTCTTCCATGACTTGTTACAAGTCCATACTAAAAACCCTGCAGTTTTCATTTAGCTGTTGGCATGATAGCTGGTTGATTATTATACGGGCTGAACAGAGCGACCAGACACTGAAGGTAGGAATGCGCACGTGCACGCATGTACGTACACACAGACACGCACCAACACATAAGTTCAACTGAAAATACTTATTTCAATAAGCAAGAAACATTCATCTGCACATGAATACATGCAGGTGGTAGATAAAGTAAACATTTCCAATTCAAAGTGAGCCCAGTGTATGCGAGTGAGCCTGTTGTCCACGATCAGTTGCGCTATTCAAACATCTTGTTTAGCAGTTCATGTGTGCCGTGTTACACCAATACCAAAACAAGTTTTTTTTTTCCTACAATTACATATCTTCATTTAGATTTCCTTTCACAAGTTTAGGTTCTCTACATTGATGGAATTAAACTTGAAGTAGGCCAAGATCGCTTTAAGGAGCATAAGGCAGCTACTAAATATAATAAAAGAAAGGACCAGCCTTGCTACAGAGCAAGTATTGTGTTGTGGTCTGCTGTAGTTTTCACTGCATATGAGCACTGATAATCCATGCTACACTGAAAAAACACATATGACTAACATGTACAAATTGTAACGAGGGCAGTGGACATGGAGCTCGAGTAGAGGAAAAAGAAGAGGTGCCAGCGATCGCAGGCTTGCATTCAGTTAGCCCTTGCGCTAGTGGAAGTGCTGGGAT